ATAGAGCAGGTAACATCAAAACCTGAGTTTGGCCACTACAATCCTATACATGAAGGGTATCTGGATCAGCAGTACCTGTAGGGTAATCAGACAGCGTAAGGCTGTTGTTTTCAAAAGAACAAACTCTTTTCCATGTGTATCAGTTGATACAGAGATGAGACAAACCATTTACCACGGACAGGGGTGCTTACAGCTTTTATTTATTTATGTGAAATCTTAATCCAAAAAGGTAAAAAAAAAAACTGTTACTGTAACTAATTATAAAGTGTTTTAGTTGGAGTTTGGCTTCAGTTTGTTAGTGTATTTAAATCGACTAGTACATCTAACACACCCCTCCTTCACCCCCCCCCCTTTCTCTCCCGACTGACATTGCTCTGTCCAAAGGTGCCCCCTGTGCTCATTCATCCAGAGTGGGGATGCATTTTAACACACGAGGTGTTACTGGCCAGATCACCAGGAAAAAGCCTAAACAAGAAAACTAATGCAGCCACCCAATCTAATGATTGGTAAGCTGCAATATATTCTATTTTTGATGTTGGGTTTAATAATTCTTCAAATCTCAAGTATCCCTGAAAGGTTTCTAGTTTGTCCCTTCCCCTGTCCTTACCACTTATACAGCTTGGTCTGCATGTTAATGAGGAGAAATGTATCCATAAAAGCATGTGAAATGAGAAGAGATTCATATATCCAGTAAGATCTTTAGACTTTATTTATTATTCTACAATATCATTTCCATTTGTGGTCCATTTGAGGCAGTTTGCACACAGGGCCGTCTGGCTGTTGTGCGCCCCTCCTGGCGTTTCAGTGTGCCACAGAGGGGAAGGTGCAGCCTCTAGCCCCACTGCCTGCAGCCTGTCAAAGTCTAAGCTGGATGGAGCTGCATGCTGTGTCAAGTGGCACCCACGTTCAGGGCCCTGTGTGTTCAGGGATGAATGCAGGAAACGCAGAACAGCTAGATGGCCCCATGTGTAAGGGGCCTAAGTGACAAAACTCCAGGAATAATCTATTTGCATTGGTCCAGCTTGGAGTAATGTATATATGCGTACTGCATACCTGAGGGTTCACTGTGAAAGCTGGAAATCACTGTAGTAGTCAGCGCCACTACAGTGATAGCCGCCATCTTCCAGGTCCTCTACCGAGCAGCTTCTTCTCTGCACACTGACCCCAGTGGGTTACTTGCTTTTCATGGCCGCTGTTCACAGAAAGCCTTGTATTTTTTTTATTGACTACAAGGCATTCTCTGATTGGATGAGGTGCAGATTGTGACATCACTGCTCCTCCACTGCATGGCATTCAATCAGAAAAAGCCTTGTTTTCAAGGCATTGTTTTAGAAAAGAAAAAAATAAATAAATGCAAGGCATTCTGTGAATGGCGGCAGTGCCAAGGGAGCGACCCACTGTGGTCATTTGTGCAGTGGGGCATCTACCTGGCATAGGACTCAGCAGATTATGGTCATCACTATAGTATCTTCAACTATTAGGCCTTGTTCATATCATACATGCAGAGAAACTGATGGAAACTGATGCACAGATTTCACTTGCAGAGACATCAGGTTACATAAGTTTTCATGTGTGCTTCAATGAGTTCTATACTTGTTGCAGATTACTTTGCAGAAAAAATCTTCACGTGATACCAGTGTTGTGGTGTGTACAGGGCACATAGAGAACAATTGATTTTGTTGTGCCCTTGCAGAACGCATGCAGAAAAAACCGCCGTCTCTGCACCATGGTGTGAACCAGCCCTTACAGTGATTGTCTGCAGAGGGGTCCCTCTGGTAGGAGATATGTATACATACGTTAGTCTAAATTGGACCCATGTAAGTATGCAATTAGGATTATACCTGGAGTCCAGTTTTTAGGCCTTGTTCACACCGGTGTGCAGACATCTGTTTTTCTGCACACATTCTGCAAGAGCACAAAAAAAAAAACAATTGTTCTCTATGTGTCCTGTTCACACCATAACATGGGTATCGTGTGGATTTTTTTTCTGCGTATGAATATGCAGTTTTCTGTGCGGGAAAATAAACCAGATGTGACCTCAACACTGTGGTGTGAACAGGGCACGTAACTGACGCACATGAAAACTGATGTCAGTGTTCATAAAAACGCACTGAAATGTGCATGAAAACTGATGTCTCTGCAAGTGAAGTCTGCACGTTTTTCCCATCAGTTCTCATGAAGGGATGGTGTGAACGAGGCCTTACAATGTTACAATATACAAGTCACCTGATTGGGCCTGACACTTGTCACACCAGTTACTGTATTTGTATAACAGTGAAGACATACATGGGTTTCCCCAGTTAGAGGTGAAGGTTTGTTTATTTAAAATCGTTCTTCCTGTTCGTCCTGTCAGTCAAGGTATAATGTATTTCAACACTGCTAAATGTCGTTAAAGGTTTGTTGTGGAAATACAAAGTACAAGGAAGTCTGTAGCATCAGCCATTCCTTGTGGATGGTCAAACTGATCCTAAGAAAAAAGAAATGTGTTTTGTCCACAAACCAGATACCAGGTTAGGAGGCTGGAACTAGTGTGTGACAGGTTGCTGGGGGTAATACGTTCACCTGCCTGCTGTGCGGTATCTTGTGAGAAAAGCCAAACTCCAGACAAACTTTTATAGTATTTGGATACTGTGGGTAGGGTTGGAGCCCAGGGGCCACAGGCAGCCCTTTGGCACTTGCAGTACGACCCTCAGGACCCATGCAGAGAGTAACCTATATTTTGGTACTCTTACTGTATGATGACTGTGTGGTTTTTTTTTTCGCTGGCTTTGTGTATCTGGTGTGCGCCTTGTTGCACCAGTGGTCTGCTGTACTGTGGCCTTGGTGGGCTGTGGTTGGCCAGCTATGATGTCTGGACTATCACATATGTATTTGGATTCTGATAATACTGTACTCCCGATGCTTGGTTTGGCTGGGAAACACATAGAAAAGTGATGCTACTCTTCTCTGGAATCTTCAAGGACTCGTCTTGGGGAGTGATTGCCCTACTAATACACTGTCTATGATCTTGGCTTGGTTATCCCTTTTGATGATTTATTGTCTGAGGTACATGATGAGGGGAGTGTAGCAGTGAATTACCAGAACCTGTTTTATTCTGCACAGACTTTATTCATAATTTTAAATCTTAAAAACGTACAAGTACAAATAAAGTATATTTTATGTAATCTTCGGGGCCTTTCTGTTTTATGGTGCACTGAAAATCCATGCTTTTTTTGCGCAGTTGTTTACTTGTATGGCACCTTATCACCACCCATATAGTGTCATTTGTTTTATTGCTTCTTAACTGTCTTCTTGTTTCTTTCTGTGCCGTTCATCTTTTTTTTTTTTTTTTGTTTTGTTTTTTTCCTTTAATGTGTAAGGCCTCATGCACCCCAGCATTTTCAGGTTGCCAAGGTGCCACAGGTGCAGTGTCCACCCCACTGCTAACAGCTTGTCAAAATTGCTGACAGGCTGAAATATGCAGCAGCTAGATGCAGTGGTACTTGCTGTATGTCCAGGACAGGAATTTCTTGTCCAGCCGTTGCATATTTTAGTCTGTTGCAGGTTTTGACAGGCTGCTAACAGCAGGGCTGGATGCTCCACCTTTGCCCCCTGGGAGCTTGAAAATGCCAGGATTTGACACCCCGAGGCCAAACCACCCATGTGCTACAAGTAATTTTAAGGGGACTGTTGGGAGCACAGAAGTGGAAACATTTATCTGGCTTGGTTCACACCGATGCAGTTTGCTTTTGATCCGTTTCTGCAGTGCTTTTTACATTTTTGCACATGTGGTTTTCACAGGTTTCGCGTTTTTTGGTTTTTTTTTTTTTTTGGCCAACCTCTTGTTGGGCAGGAGATAAAACAAAACAAAAATGCAAAATGCCTCAAAAACGCACTACATGCCTTTCTGCAGCATCTCCAAAAACGCAGCAGCTGAAAAAAGCATAGATGTGATCGTGTCCCACCGGAAACCATGTTAAATGGACTGTAGTGCGTTTCTGCAAGAAGCACCTTAAAATGCATAGGTGTGAATCAGGCCTACGGGGCTGTCATAGCATTGATCTCTAGAAGTCTCATGTAATCTATCAGTAGTGACTGATCTATCAGTAGTACCTAGATACTGATATGGTACTGACCAGTCTATGGTTGTCTCCTGAAGCAGGTCCCTGGTCTCCAACAACAGCAGTTACATAATTAGTCTGGCTGAAAAAAGACAAAAGTCCATCCAGTTCAACCATTAAAAAAAAAAAAGTTCTAATCCTATACCCACAATTGATCCAGGGGAGTCTCTGACAGCTTTCTGTAGCATTCCATTCACTGAATATTATATGTGGCCCTTTGAGTGTGTCACTGCACTTGAGGCCCCCTATATCATATGAGTTGACAGCCAATGGGTTAGAGGCTCTGTCAGCTTTTCTAGTTAAAGTGTTACTAAACCTAAACCCATAATGGTAAAATCAGTCTGTATATGCAGTAAAGCATGCTTGTTATGCTCACTGTGGAACCTAGGGGGTTAATCTTCCACATTGTGTAAAAAGGCAGTTTGATCCTGTCTTCTCTGATCCTACCCTTCTTCTGCGGTCCCCAATTAATTTGCTGATAGTACAGAGCTCTAGGAGTCACACTGCAGATGCTCATTTTAGTGTGTATGTCTATAGAGAGGTTTTTTTTTCTTTGGGAGGGTGCATGTGATCAGCACAGGGCTAATCAGCGCTGTCTAGGCAGAGGGTCGTGGGTCCTGCAGCCTCATAGGACAATAGGGAGAGAATGAAAACTCCTACAAGTTTTAACCAGTACTCTGCTGCACACTGATAGAAGTCCCAAGACTGCTCTAAATGCTGATGAGAAAAGGTATTTAGCCGTTATATTTACTAAAATAATTGCATTCCCATGTTCTGTGTACTGTGGGAGACCAGATATAGTGAATGCAGCGTCCTCGGTTAAGTAACACTGTAAGGATTTTTGTTGATTTTTTTTTTTCCATTTATTTAGTGCCATGCATTGTCTTTATTCTTACCTAGACTGAAGGGGTCAGAGTTTCTGTTAAAGTGCTGCCGAATCAGAAGGGAACACCATTGCTTTTTGGCGTCCGACAGAAGGAAGCAGTTGTGTCTTTCCAAGTACCTCTTACCCTCAGAGGACTGTAAGTAAAGATTTTTATTTCCTTTTTTAAATGAACACATATTTGAAATCTAAATGGTTACACCAAACTGTACGTATCCCTGCACTGTACGGCTCCATGTACACGTGACATTTGGGAAACACTTCTGAATGATGGAAACTGACTGCTGGAAAACTGAGGTTAAAAAACGTCTGTTTAGTCGCGTTTGCACACTGCATTTATGCGCGTTTATGAGTGTTTGCGTTTAGAAGCGGTTTTTAACCACTTGCCGTCCGCCTGCTGTTTATAAACGGCAGGACGGTGGTACTCCAGGGGCGGGTTGCCGTTCATAAACGGCACCCGCCGAGTGCGCAGCACCACGATCCAGTGCCTGCTGTGTCCTCCGGACACAGTGAAACACCGATCGTTGGACGGGACCTCTGGCCAATCAGTGATCGCATGATCGGGACCTTGTACAATCAGTGATCGCATGCAAAGTAGTAAGTAAGATGTCACTTGTGACATCATTGCTTACTACGTGTGAAATCTGTGAATGATCACAGAGGTCACATGGTAAAAGGGTATTCACAACAGTCTTGTACCATATGACAAGCTGTGACCAATCACAGCTCACTCAGTAGTTCTCAATGGCTGCAAGAATGCAGACAGAGAAAGAGAAATTATTGCTTTTACATCCTATATGGGTGTAAAAGCAATCAGTGTAAAAGGAAAAAAATAAATCTGCATCACCCCCCACTAGTTATAAACTAATTAGGCTTTTTTTTTTTTTTTTTTTTTTTTACTAAAAAGAGAACAGAATAAATTATGGCCAAGATTTATGATGAAATATTATTTATTTGCAAAATTTTATAAGAAAAACACTTTTTTTCAAAATTTTTGGACTTTTTCATTTACATAGCAAAAAAAATAAAAATCCCAGCGGTGAATAAATGGCACCAAAATAAAGCTTTATCTGTCTCAAAAAAATGGTAAAAAATTCATATGGGTACAGTGTTGCATGACTGCGCAATTGTCATTCAAATTGTGATAGTGCTGAAAGCTGAAAATTGGCCTGGGCAGGAAGGGGGTAAAAGTGTCCGGACAGGAAGCGGTTAAAGATAACCTCAGGGACCTTCCAAAATGCCCAGAATGCACTGCTTGAAAAAGTCGGTTAAAAAAAGTCTGTTTAGCCGTGTTTGCATACTGCATCTATGTGCGTTTATGAGCGTTTGTATTTAGAAGCGTTTTTTAAATGACCTCAGGAGACCTTCCAAAATACCCAGAATGCACTGAAAACCAGTAAAAAAAAATTAACTATTTCAGACGTTTTGAGAGAAACAGAGAGAGCAGAAGCAGAGAGAGAGCAGTGTGTGTTGAGATTTCCTATCTTTTCTGGTTGTATTCACTATGGATCCCATCATGAGCATAATGCAGCACGTTCTGCCATTTTTTCCTTCGCACAAAACCTGGAACTGACTGTACTGGTGTACCGGGTCCATTCGAATACCGTATATACTCGAGTATAAGCCGAGTTTTTCAGCACATTTTTTGTGCTGAAAAACGGCCCCTTCGGCTTATACTCGAGTCAACATCTGCAGATAGTGGGGCGCCCCCCCAGGGGGGGCGCGAGGCTCCGTCAAGGGGGGCGCGTACAGGGGTGGGCAGAGGGCTGCTGTCTCTTACCTGGCTCCGGTCCCACGATGATCCTTCCAGGAAGCGCTGCTCCTTCCGTCACTCCGGCCACTCCCTCACTCCTGCTGCTCTGCTCCGCCTCCTCACCGGTGATTGGCCGCCAGAACTGTAGCTCAGGAAAGGTACACAGGCGGCCAATCACGGGCGAGGAGGCGGAGCCGAGCGGACCCGCGAAAATCGAGTGAGGGAAAAGCCGGGAAGTGTGCAGTGCAGAGGTGCTGCTGCAACCACATATGCTGGCTGCAGCAGCACCACCATACTGCAACAGGAGTCAGCAAGTGTCATTGGTGTCAGTGGGAGGAATAGTGCCACATCATTGGTGTCACTGATACTAATGATGGGGCATTATTCCTCCCACTGACACCAACGATGGGGCACTATTCCTCCCACTGACACCAATGATGGGGCACTATTCCTCCCACTGACACCAATGATGGGGCACTATTCCTCCCACCCCACTGACACCAATGATGGGGGGCACTATTCCTCCCACCACTGACACTACCAATACTGATGGGGCACTATTCCTCCCACTGACACCAATGATGGGGCACTATTCCTCCCACTGATACCAATGATGGGGCATTATTCCTCCCACTGACACCAATGATGGGGCACTATTCCTCCCAGTGATACCAATGATGGGGCACTATTCCTCCCACTGACACCAATGATGAGGCACTATTCCTCCCACTGATACTAATGATGGGGCACTATATTCCTCCCACTGACACCAATGATGGGGCACTATTCCTCCCACTGACACCAATGATGGGGCACTATTCCTCCCACTGACACCAATGATGGGGCACTATTCCTCCCACTGACACCAATGATGGGGCACTATTCCTCCCACCAATGACACCCCAATGATGGGGCACTATTCCTCCCACTGACACCAATGATGGGGCACTATTCCTCCCACTGATACTAATGATGGGGCATTATTCCTCCCACTGACACCAACGATGGGGCACTATTCCTCCCACTGACACCAATGATGGGGCACTATTCCTCCCACTGACACCAATTTTTTACATTGACTAGTAGGTGCCTCATTTCCCACCCTCGGCTTATACTCGAGTCAATAGTTTTTCCCAGTTTTTTGTGGTAAAATTAGGTACCGCGGCTTATATTCGGGTCGGCTTATACTCGAGTATATACGGTACATGGAAAACACTTTGCATGCATTTCTGATGATGAAAAAAGGCTCCGGACAGCATCTGGATATGGAACAGTTAAACGCTTCTAAACGCGGTTAGCTGCATTTACAAGCATTTGGTGTTTGAAATGCTGATAAAATCTACTTCTGAATGCAAGTTTGGTTCGTTCAAAAAAACGACTGTAAACGCAACTGCCTGTAAACGACATAGTGTACATGGACAAATAGGAAAACATTAGGGAGAGTTCAGGGGCTGCTAAAAAAAAAAAAAAAAAAACTGCAGAAAAGCTCCTGAACATGAGTTTATCAGCTGCAGTGTACATGGAGCCCTTACTAATAATATACAGAATGACATGTTTTTCTTCTTAGATTTCAGCGGAATTACCAGTACCGGGATGTTGGACGCACACTGTGCCAACCACCAACCAGAGCAGAGGCAGAGACGGAGTCCTTCTATGTGGATGTTTCCACCTTGGCGGAGAAAAATATCACCTACCTTCTACGTGTCACACACGTGGAGAATTTTGTACTGCGGTGAGAAGCAATCTATACTGTTTGTGTATGCTTGTTTGGTGATATGTCTCTGCCAGAGTGAAATTCATGGGATCTTTGTCTTTGTAGGACAAAAGAACGGTTCAGTTTTAATGCAACTCCTGCTCAGCCTCAGGTATAATGTGTAAAAGGTGGCAAGTATATGTTGTGTATTGGCTCCAGACAAGAATGATGTGTTTGCAGTTGTGGATATGTTGGTGTTGTGTGTATTTTATATTGAATATTAACTAGCAGTGCTCTTTACACAGCATAGGTAAGGTACATAGTCTAAAAAAACAAATATTTGTCACTTAGCCCTGGTTCACACCGCTGCGACTTCAGGTGAGATTTACAAAGTTGCATCTAATGTATTTCTTTGGCGCTGTCCTAATCCGTGTGATTTGAAGTAGTGCAATTTCAAAAATAGTTATTTTTTATGATTTCATTGCGACTTGCATTGACTTCTGTTAAATGAAGTTACAAGCCACAGTGAAATCAGAGGTACAAATCGCACTGATTCCAGTGAAGCAGCGCAATTTCAAAGTTGAATTCAGTGTGAACCAGGGCTTACACGGTTAATGTTTCACTCCCTTTGCTCTCTGTGGTTGATGGTGATGATCGTCGTCATAAATTCAAGGAATTTAAAGAAAACTAGAGCCAGCCCATTGAGGAATCGGAACACTCTGAGGTTTAACCCAGGATGTGTGCATGCATGGAGGAGGTCAACATAACACGATTTTCACTTTTTCCAGGAAATTTCCATTAAAGTGCATGTATAACCTATTTTTTAGTATTGGATAAGGTGGAGGGGGGCTAGGATTTCTGTCTGGTCTTTGTCTGTCACTGCTGGGGAGATTCACTCTGTTATTTGTCCCAGTACAGAAATTGATCAGAAATCCAACATTTGCGAGTTGCCACTGGAACAGCAGATGAGGGGTATTCTTATAATGGGGACACCTGTTTTGGTTACATCTATTGGAAATTCCTCTCATTTTGTAGTGAATCCTCTCACTTCCTGTTGGGTTTCTGCAGAGAGCTGACATCACACAAATACGCGGCCTCACAGAAATGGGCTTTTTTCCATGGGGCTGCAAATTTGCGTATCTGTCTTGTACGCCGCACTGCGCGCGCTCCCAGCACAAAAACCAGGGTGTCACTGAGAGCCCCTGGTCCCGTTCGAACGATCGGGACTCCCGATCCTGGGTCACATGATCACTATGATAGCTGCTGATTGGCTATCACAGTGATGAGTCACTGTGAAGCCCGCCCCCCCTGTTTTTTTTTTTTTCTCTGAATGGAGGAGATAGATACATTGTCTCTCTCTCTCTCTCTCTCTCTCTCTCTCTCTCTCTCTCTCTCTCTCTCTCTCTCTCTCTCTCTCTCTCTCTCTCTCTCTCTCTCTCTCTCTCTCTCTCTCAGAGAAAGAAGAAAACTGTAAAAAAAGAATAAGTTAAATATTAAAAACTAAAATAAAAAATAAAGAAAAAGTACCTTGATCAAGGTTTGGTCTAGTTCAGTGCCAGGGTTAGTGTTTGGGTCAAGTTCAGGGTCAAAGGTCAGGATTTCTTTTTTAATTTTTTTTTTTTTTTTGTGTCCGTGTGTTTTAGGTAAAAAAAAAGCGCACTATTGTTTCTGGGCTGTAGTACAGGTACAAACAACAAATAACATACACATATATGGTATTGATGCTGTTGGACAGGAGCTGGAAAATTTATTTTGGGTTGTCTTTTGATGGTAGGTTATAGTAGTAACAAGAAACCCACAGCTAAATAAAAAAAAGATTTTTTTTTTACTATTTTAGGCCAGTTTTCCTTGTTGGTAATAAAAACAAAATCGGGATATAACCATTACCATTTACCACCAAATGAAAGCCCAGTTTGTCTTGAGAAAAATACGCGGTATAATTCACCTGGATGTACAAAGTAGTTATGATGATATGTACGGTTTTACGAACTCATGTGAAATTTGTAAAATTTTACTTGGGCTTTAAGAATTGTTTTACTCTTAGGTGTGAAGGGGTTAAATATGTCATCAGAGATTGTGCTCTCATAGTCAGGATAAAGCGTTCTTTACTGAGGCTTGCAATGTAATTTTATTACATGAGTTATTACTAGATCTGTATATTTTCTTGTATACTATATTTGCTGGAAGCAGCAGTTTTTCAGAACATGGTTCCATAGAAAAAGGTGGTGTGAGTCTGGCTTATAACCTCAGAACTCCTCCTTTTATACATTATTATTATTATATACAGTATTTATATAGCGCCAAAGGGTTTCCTCAGCGCTGTACAATAGCGCGGGGGACAGAACATGAGACAATACAGTAACAATACAATACAACACGAGGGGTTCGAGGGCCCTGCTCTTTCGAGCTTACAATCTACATCTGTTTTAAATCTAGCTCTCTGGTCCATACAAGCAGGGTCACTTCTGACTGCTACAAAATGAAACTGCCGACAACACTGTATAGTGGCTGTAAAGGCTCCGAGATTTATATCTTCATGAATTGTATGCACGAAGGTGAAAAAACCTTTTGTGTGCAGCAGTTCTCCCCCCCCAATATTTACCTGAGCCCCCTTGCGATCCAACAATGTGCACAAGAACCTTGGCTCTCCGAGAACTCTATCTCCTTGTTGGCTGAGACAGCAGCCGGAGCCGTTGGCTCTCGCTGCTGTCAATCGCAGCCAGTGAAGAGAGAAAGTGGGTGGAGCCAAGCTGTGGCTCTGTGTGTGAATGGACATGCAGAGCAGCAGCTTTGGAGCGAGCCTACTCAGGTGCCCCCATAGCAAGCAGTTTGCTATGAGGGCAGAAGGGAGGGGCTTGGAGCATCGGCAGGGTACCAGAGAAGAGGAGGCTCCGGGCTGCTCTGTGCAAAACCACTGCACAGAGCATTTTTTTTTTTTTTTCATAAATGCTTCTCATTTTTTTGGGATATAATACATTTTCATTTTTTTAACTCCCTAGGACAGCCTTTTTCAACCAGGGTGCCCTCTGGTTTCTTCAGGGGTGCCTTGGCCAAATGCTAAAAATTGCCCATAAAATTTGTATACAAGCCAGAGGGTGGATAAAGCCTGCCTTTTAGTTACACAAAGCCACAGGTTTTCATTGTGTACCATTATGACCTTTTAGCTGCCAGCGTCCTAACAACCAGAGCCAGAATTGGAATATTAGTCCGTACCAGTGTGCAAAGGTGCACCTCTAGCATTGGATGTACTATGTATTTGGATGTTGCTGCATTATAGAAAACTATTAGTTTAGTCTTTTTACATTAAGAATGGGGTGCCTCAAGATTGTGCAGAATTTTAAAGGGTGCCTTGACTCAAAAAAGTATGAGAAACACTGCCCTAGGGGACCAAGTACATATACTGTAGCACTTGGTCTCGTTCAGATCCGTCCCTTCATTTCTAAGCAGCATGGTCAGACCGGTGTCCCAGCCCTGTTCAGCAACACTGATAAAAAGGAGATGGATATGTGATTGACAGCTCTGGTGTCTGCCAGTAGGGATCACCGTTCACACAAAACCGACCACACAGCCAGCTGCATGTCCATCAAGGCTGATATTATACATGCACAGTGTGACCAATGAATGACACAACACTGCAGGGCTGTGTGAGCTCTCAGTTTTATGAATGAGTGATCAACATTGTTGGGCTGTGTGTCAGGGCAGGGCTGTGGAACGGACAGGTAGGCCTAGTGGCAGGGTAACGCACTGGCTGACGACAACCACCACCAACAGACCGAAGTCCCTCAGGGCGCGGAGTCTAAGTCCCAGGCTGCCCTTCACCAGGGCCCCTGATGGTGGGGATGGACTTGACGCAGCCAGGAACCAGGTTGCGACCCCCGAGACACCCCGGCTGCGGTAATGGCCCGCCGCCAATGGCGTGTAGCTGTTGAGAATGACAATAGCGTAGTCAGGCAAGCCGGGTCAACAACAACGGGACAAAACAGTACAGAACAGTAGACAGAGAATCACAGGTCACGGGCCGGGTTCAGCAACGGAGGGTCAGATCGAAGGAAAACACAGAGAATGGTCTTAGTCACAAGCCGAGTCAGAATACCAGAAGAGTCACGAGCGTATACACAGAGCTGTAGCAAGACAAAGACACAAGACACATGTGCGGATCACAGGCTTATATGTACTCAGCCACACTTCTCTGGGGGATGGACCTCAGAGACCTGAAGGCATAAAAGCTTCCCACCATGCTCAGCCGAAATCCAAGATGGATGCCAGCACATGGAGTAACATAACCTCTGGGAAAAGGTAGGACCTTGACACTGTGCTACACAGCAACTGCCTGACATTTCTGATCGTTCAGTCCTATATAGTGAAAGCTCACACATCGCTGCAGTGCTCTGCGATCCATTGGCCGGGCTATGTATACATACTATCAGCCCTGATAGACACACAGCCGCATCTCTTGACTGATCTGTCACTGATGAGTGAGCAGTGCTGCTTGTTTATTCATAATCGTCAAAAGTCATTCAGAGTTGAGGCTCTGTGTAATATATCTGCAGGTGCTTGTATACATACAGGGCAGATACTTTGCAAAGAGCTAAGCTCTGAATGATCTTTTACTATTTTGAATGATCAAGCAGCACTGATTGCTCATTCATAATAGTGACCGATCACTCAGCTTAGAGGGGGGAGGGGCATTGTACTGAATGTACCTTGCCCACAAGACTCCCATAATTTGGCCTTCAAAAGGGGACGGAGCAGCCAGCATATAGAAGTGTTTTTAGGGAACAATGGAGACAGAATGGGAATGGGAACAGTACTTGTTCCTCTGAGGAGTTAAAAAATAAAAAGATAGTTCTCCTTTCAGCTCACACATTTTACAATTTATTTGTGCAATCTACCAACTATATAATGCAAGGGCCTGCCAGATTGGATACAAATTGATTGGATAGATTGGGTAGGTCCTTGTATTACATAGTTGCAATAAATCTAATGTTGATTGTACAAAGGTTGTACGGACAGTTGATGTTTATGGTGATCTTAGGTTTTTTTATGTTGTCTGTATGCCTTTAGGAAAATTCCCCTCTCTTCTTATTCTGGTGGCCCCATGGGAGATGAGGGATGGTTGAAAAGGAGATAAAACAATGTGCTATATCATAGCAGCACAGACCTGAGAAAAATATTGAAACATATTGGGTGAATTTGGAGTACTAAAGGTTGCAGAGCACTATCTAAAAATGTCAGTAAATGAGAGAGGTGGGAGGGGAATCTAGAGTGTACTGTGAAAGCTGCTAAGATTCTGACCTCATTAGCTGCAGACACTGTAGAGCACTTTGTCTTCAAAGTTAACTGCAGAAGCACTACAGAAGTCTTTCAAGCCATTCTCTCAGCAGGTCATCTCACCCTACTCCCTCTCCACGCAGTCACTCAACAGCTTTCCAGCACTCTAATCTCTAATCTAAAAACAGAGTAGTTACTCTGGGAAGGGAGCTGTGCTGCTTAAAAAACGACTTGAAAGGCTTTAGTGCTTCTGTTGTTAATTTGAGGATGAATTGCTCCATAGTGCCTGTGGTTACAAAGGTAGGTGGGTGTTTGTTTTAAATCAAAGTTACTGCTTGTAAAGGATATGTAAATATTTAAATGTCCATAGCCTTGGAACCATTACAATTGAACTTGACAACATATTTCAGTTGGATACAGTACCTGGTATGTTTACATACACAGCTAGCTGCTGTGTATATAAACATAAAAGTAAAATCTTACATTCATGTTTATTGAGAAGCAATGTGGGCAGATGTGCTGGAGCCAATTATCACAAGGGGAAACAGTCTAAATGAATTTTCTAACCAGTCCAATTGTTGGTTCTCCCAAAGTGCAGCAGACCATTTACTGCATGCGGACACATAGTCATGATCTAGAGTGAAAAGTTACCAATCGTGTTTTGTCATAGTCTATGATTAGCTTTACACTTTATATTTCTTGATACATTGTCTTGATCTGAAACGGTGTGACTTGGGGGGCCATTTAAAATGGAGAACAGAGCAAAGAGAACACTGTGACTAGAGGAGAAACAGTTAATTGACTTTTATAAAAACGTAATAAAATGCCCTGTTCCTTTTTAAATAAATATTTATAATACTCACAGTTAATCAGTATGAATAATTCATGAGATTAATTTTCTAATGCAGTGCTAAATAAATATAAATACATATTTGTGAAAAAAACGTGAATAAATATCTTTAAAAAAAAAACAGATGAAAATTTAATAGATGAAGAAAGTCCAAAATAACTGCAAATATATAATCCACCACTCTTCAACGCTTGTGTGAAATTCATTTTGTGCCAGCATTAAATAAAGGTAGATGGGTTTCCTACACCTGCATACCAAAGATTTTGGCACTAAGCTTCCATATACTGGGTTATAGACGCCTTGATGCTATAATGAAACCTATATCCTTGAGAAAAGAAATACAGCAATGTCAAGTGTCTCCTGCTATAATACCTGTACCAGCCAAGATATACTAGAACCTCAGTTTCAATAGTAACCCTACTCCCTGCCCCCTGCAGCAAAATGTTTGATATCTGGATTTGAAAGAAGTCTTTGTTCACTTAAAATCTGCTAAACTACAGACAGACATTTAAAATACGCACTTGAAAATGCTTACATACTTTGTAGATTTTCCTGGGTGTTCCTAAGCTCTAAAGTCTTCAAAAACTGAAATTGTGCTTGACACTGCCCCCTCCCGCCACTTACTAGTGGTCCATCACTATCATTGACAGCCTATTATTGAGGTGTGATAGATGGGCTTCAGTTCCTGATGTAGCTGTTTGTGTATGAGAGCTGTAAGGGGCACCTATGGTGTTCTGCAAGGTATGTGATCACACATGTAGGGATCTCCTTCCTACAGTTTAGTGCGGTAATGTGTAATAAGAGCCCTACCTTTTATAAATCATAAAGTGTTTTGCCAGCTGATGTGAATGGAGCTGGCACAACCTTTGCAGGCCTTCTGGTGCTTCTACTTTGGCAAATGATGTGCTTTTGAACCAGCAGGGGAAGCCTTCGGTTAGGTACCTGTTTAATTATTATTATTATACAGGATTTATATTGCACCAACAGTTTGCTCAGCTCTTTACAATATAAAGGGAGACAATACAGCAATGATACAGTTAAATACAATAGAGTTCAGAGGGCCCTGCTCCTTGGAGCTTACAATCTAAGAGGGAGGGGCTGGTGGTACAAAAAGTAATAACTGTGGGGGATGGACTGGTAGGAGAAATAGAAGATTCGGTTATTAGCTGAAGGCAGGATAGGCTTCCCTGAAGAGAGAGGTTTTCAGAGATCGCCTAAAAGTGAGCAGAGTAGGTGATAGTCAGATAGATTGGGGTACAGAGTTCCAGAGGATGGGTGAGGCTCTGGAGAAGTCCTGGAGATGAGCATGGGGGGAGGAGACAAGGGAGCTAGAGAGCAGGAATGACTACATGATGACAGAAGTCTGTTGGTCACACATCTCAATGACTCTTCTTGGACAGCCCAGCCTGAAGTTTCATTCCGACAAATCGTCTTAAAGCAAGCAGTTCTGTTGTGCAGACTCTTTAGCTAAGCAACAGGGCTATGGGAATCCTTTGGCATGTATTGCATGTGGAGTGGCAAATAAAATCTGCCCAAAACAAATATAGTTTCCCTTTTTAAATGCCAGATTCAAAAATATAGTAGTATGACTTTTCTAAACAAACCTATAGTTTGTATATTTCGTATTTTTTCAGCTGCTCGCACTGCCTGTGGGCATATCCAAGCAAGGTTTTGTTTTGGGATTGAACATTTGTTGATTGTTTTAAAGCTGTAATTTATATGGATGCTGGTGCCTGGTCTTGAAGATGCCAAGTCTGTACAACCGTATATTCAAAGCACACTTCGCTGATGGCTGTCACCTTATTTTTCAACACATTTGAAGTATCTGAAATCAGATTCTATAAATGGTCACAAACATTGTAGCATCTCTGAACCACAGTCAGCCTAACTGGAATGTTTAGAATCTTGGAAATACACCTGATTGATCTTTGAATAGCAGTGTATTGAGGTTTATGATTAACTTTTTGTACTACACAAATGTGCAAGTTTATAGACAACCTATGTACTGGGGTTGGACAAAAAAAGGTGTGAAAGTGATGACATGTTTAAAGTTGAAAGTGTAAGTGATGTAATGCTCTTTTGCTGTGTGATGAGACACCTACCTAACAGCTGGGAAGCCTCACTTTCATCATTCACTACATGCGCTGCTGGTAATACGGCGTCATGTCAGAGCTTTCTGAGCCAATTTATTTGTCGTGTCGCAAGGTACAGTATTAAAGATTATGACAGCATATACAGTTTCTGGGAAAACATTGATTAACTTAATCCTGCACAATGTCCTTTTGTCTCTTTCAGTCAGTTGACCGCACTTATGCTTCTCAGATGACTTTTTCCCAGAAACTGTTTATGCCGTCATAACCTTTGATACTGTACCTCCCGACACCACAAATAAATTGGAAGTTTCAGTCACCGGGGCACCAGCTAAGTGGCACCAACAACTGGCCCTCTTTGTAGCTCAGTAAGCTCTGACATGACTCTGTATTACTAGCAGCGCACACAGTGAATGGCGAAAGTGTGTTTTCCCACCTGTTGGGTGTCTCATCACACAGCAGAAGCAAAAGAATGTTGCGTCACTTCCACTTTCAATGAAAAACATGTCATCAGTTGCACACCTGCAAATCCTGTAGTAGTATTTCCATTTTTGTCTAATCCCTGTATACCGGCTCAGTGGGTTATGGCATACGGAGGTCCTTGAACTATCAAAATGTGTTTTTGTTCCCCTTCAAAATAAACATGGAACATGGTATACATTATGAGAGCTTTCAGGCTTTTATGAAGTAATAAGTCTTCTAATTTATGAAAGCTCATGTATGTTATTGTTGGACATATTTTTTGCCCTTCCTCACTCCTTTACTTTTGTTTCTTTGCAGTATTTTAAATATGTGTTTCCTGCGGAGGTGGACTCTGTGATTGTAAAGGTTTCTTCTCCGTCTGCCTTCCCCTGTTCTGTCATCTCCATTCAAGATGTTCTGGTGGGTACACACCACAAGGAGCTGTTTGGTTGGGAGCATATTAGATCATTTATTTAAAAGGAAAGGTGTCTTTGTTCTACAACATTTGTCATGTTTTTCTTAATGCTTATTCAACGCATAAATATCAAATAAAATCAGATAAAAATCATTGGAAAATAAAAGCAAAGGTGTTCAGGGAGCAATATTACCCAGAACATGTGCAGATGGTTAACGTTGACTTATTTGCCAGATACTTTTTTCCAGGTCATTAAAGCGATGGACAGCCAGGCAGTTGGCATTTTCAAGAGATCACCAATGACAGCCTTAACATGAAATCCCAAGTTCTCACCTTTTGCACATGCTACCAAACATTGCTTCTTTCAAGAAGTCTTATTCCATGAATCTACTGAGAAACCGAAACATCCAGGAGTGTCATTCTTATATGTTCCCCACAGTTTTTACTTATTCCTCTTGCTGAACACCTTGCCACTACTGTGTCCTACAGTGGCAGTTCAGAAGAGAAACCATTTAGAGTCTTGTACAGGCAACAGGGAATATATATATATATATATATGTGTATATGTATGTATATATGTGTGTGTGTGTGTGTATGTATATATGTGTGTGTGTATATATGTATATGTGTGTGTGTATATGTACATATGTATATATATATATATATATATATATATATATATATATGTATATATATGTATGTGTGTGACATGGTCACTTCAATTGAAATTTGTCTTGAGAGAAATATGTAGGGCTACCATTGTTGACCACTTTTGAAAATGCTAGATAACTGGCTGCCATGCTTAATTCTATGGTTCAGTACTTTCCAAGTCACTGGCCCAGAACAGGTATACAGATCAGCAGTTCTGACTTTATTTTCTTGCATTCCTGAACTTCTCTTTATAAAGCAAATTAACAGAAATGAACAGGGTTAACAGACTCTTCAGGTGAGCAGAGAGCACAGGATAGTTCTGAATTTCCAACATGGTCAACAGGTATTGTTTGCACTTTAACAGATATAATAAAGTACTTCCGATGGTATTTACCAGACCAAAAGCGAGCAAATAAGAGAAGTTGATTGTTTGCATACACGTTAATTTTTTACTTTATTTGAAACAAAAGAGAAGTATAGGCTTAAAAAAAAAAAAAATTATGCTCACCTAGATGGATGCAGCATCGATCCGATGCTGCATCTGTCCCCCACCGCCACTGCAGTGGGAACTGAGCGATCAAGCACCGCTGATCACTCAGTTCTCCACCTCCACTCTGAGCAGAGAGCCGGGACTGTCAGTCACCAGCTCTCTGTTTTCCCCATTTAACGCTCACTGGAACGCTGGCCTGTGGATGGGGCAGGAGGGGCTAGCTCAGGCTCTCTGCAGATTGTTGAGAGGCTGAGCCAGGTGCTGGTCCAGGGTTCTGGGTAGATCCTTACCATAGGGTTAGGATCTTTCTTGAGCCTGGACCGGCTGAGTGATGTCAGCCGACTGCAGACTTTAGCCCGCTGTCAGCTGAAAACGAATCAAACGAGAGCAAAAAAAAACTAATTCCTGTGACCTACATGAGAAGTATAGCCAAAGTTAGTTTTGGGTATATTTCTCCTTTAAGCACTACAGGAGTTATCAGACAATAATGTCATAGAGTGTTCAGTTACTGGCAGTAGTTGCTTCTGACTGTTTAACACATTGGAAGAAGTGACACTAGAGGGGAGATTATGCACTGGGGTTTCTTGAATTTGCACTTCTAAAATAAATGAGAGTAATCTGGCATGTTGGCAGCAGGCACCATAAGTTGCTTTTTCATGTCTGCTCTGACTCTATTGCCAAAGCCCTCAAAAAAGGCTATGAATGCCAGGATTTCCAAAAATAGGAATACTCCACATCTCACGTGACAGTGCTTGGCAAATGGCTACTGCATTGTGGGATGCAGAAAGTGCCATGTTTGCCCGTACCCAAAAGCACTGGGTTTTTCTGGTTTCTAGGGCGGCATCTAGGAGTCACCCAGGTTAGGAGTAGGCATCTTTTAGTGCAGCCTTTCTCAGCCAGGGCTCCTCCAGAGGTTGCTAGATGTTCCTAAAGCAAGGGGAAATTTCTGCTACTCCGATAACTTGGCAAATAATCTTTGTAGAGCTATCTGTAAGAGGAGGATTATTTCCACAGACCCCAAGTGTCGGGTACATTCTTCTCCTTAACCATCACACTAATGTACAGTAAGCTGTACATGCATTTTTATTAGGGGTTCCCTAAGACCAGAACAATATATGAAGGGTTCCCCTATATAAAGCTTGAAAAAAGCTGTTCTAGTGCTACCAAGCAGAAGCATTATATATATATATATATATATATATATATATATATATATATATATATATATATATATATATATATTAATTTTTTTTCCAGTATTCGAGTTGATTAAACAGACTGTAAAGTTAATATTTATACTGTATATGTAGTTGTGACCTTTCTGTGAAGTTGAAGAGCACAGTTGGTTTGTGTACTCTAGATAATGTTGTTTGTAGTTGAAAGTCTAACATTTAATAGCTTTTTTTATTTGCAAGTATTGTTACCTTTTTCTTGCAGTGCCCAGTATATGACCTTGATAATAATGTGGCTTTCACCGGCATGTATCAGACAATGACCAAAAAAGCTGCTATCACAGTGCAGGTGACTGAGCTTCAGATTTTATTTCTATACTGGCTTCACCCCCTTCTCCCTTTATACAATTTTGAATGTTCGTTTTTTTTTTTCCCCTAAATATTCAATATCTAATTTTGTTTAATCCTTTATCTGTTTGTGTATATACCTAGAAGCTTAAGGTATAGTTATCTACCACGTCCGTCAAAAGTTGTCTGCTTTTGTTTTAACTGTTAGATTTTTCTTAATGCTCTCCATCAATGTATGAAACGTGACATGATCTTCTATACTGGTGTAAATTATCATTATATTTGACATGGCATCACTTTAATGTAAATGATCCATGTACTGTATGTGATATGGCTTTATGTTTGTGTTGGTGTTCCTTGTCCATTTCTGCTGTGATGTATTTTATCAGTACAATGCGGGCTGCGGCTTTGTTTTTCCTATTTTAAAAGTTGTGTCTTACTGTTATCCTCTCATCACCTTTCAGAAAAAGGATTTTAACAAAGGTGGTTTCTATGTTGTCGTCGTTGTAAAGACAGAGGATGAAGCCTGTGGTGGAGCCCTGCCTTATTATCCCTTTAATCCAGGTATCCTTCTGTATCATACACACTCATTTTTCTTCTTGATCCTCCAGCGAAACAGCCAAATAACAGATGAAATACTTAAATAAGAGCTGGTTTACATGCCAAAGTATTTAGTTTTTTTTATCCATCCAGTCTTGAGAATTAACAGCCCTGCAATACAGCACAGGCAGCTTTACATAGACTGTACATGGAGTATAATGGTGTCATCTCTCACCTGCTGGCTGACTGGCTGCTTCTCCTCCTATCAGCATGTTTTCTGTCATGACATGTGCAGGCAGTGCACCTCATTGGTCCCAGTCCTGCCTCTCCCTCTTCCAATCTGAGTGCCACTGTATAGGGTATTGCTTGAGGCTGTTAGCAAGTAAAATTGTGGTACTTACAGTATCTGTATTTAACGGGTGCATTAATTTGTGTCTTTTCGATCTACCTGGAGTTCAGCTTTAATACTATTATTACTATAAGCCCTGCTTCACACCAGTGCGGCTTTGAAATTGTGCTACTTCAGCGTGATTGCAAAGGCACTGATCAGTGCTATTTTTGATGTGCAATTTAAAGCCATTTATAACTCTGCCCCAAATTACATCACCAATCTTGTCTCCAAATATCACCCAAACCGTACTCTCCACTCGCACGCCCTCCTGCTCTCTCTCGCTCCCTTGTCTAGTCCTCCCATGCTCATCTCCAGGACTTCTCCAGAGCTTCCCCCATCCTCTGGAACTCTCTACCCCAATTTATCAGAATATCGCCTACTCTGCTCACTTTTAGGCGATTTCTGAAAACCTATCTCTTCAGGGAAGCCTATTCTGCCCTCAGCCAATAATGGAATCTTCTATTCCTCCTACCAGTCCATCCCCCACAGTTAGTTAAAGCGCTGAGCAAACTGTTGGCGCTATATAAATCCTGTATAATAATTGAGGCTTGCGACTTCATTGAACAGAATTCAATCCAAGTGCAGGAACCTTTTTCAAATTCTCTGTGATTAAAATGGTTCCATTGCCACAAATAGGGTGCGCCTTGTCATGTGATTTTGAATTGTCAAATCGCACAATAAAGTTCATCGTTGTGAGCCAGGGCTTATACTTTGCTCTGTATACTAAAGTCCTTTTTTGTGCACATGTTAAAAATCTGCATTTTCGGCTATAAAAATACTTAAAAACCCAGTACAATATATAGTTTCTTACAGCAGAGGGCATATTTATGCAACTGTATGTCAAATCTATATTTTCAGGAAAAAATACACTAAAATGAATTTTATTGCACACAAATGCAATTTTGTATGCGTGTATGTGGGAAGGGGGATTACGCTGTCTGCACTGAAATAGTGATTGGGTGGCTCTATAGCTGCCCAGATCACTTTTACCTGACAACGGGGAGCAGGCTTAAGAAAGTCAATATAAGTTAATGGCTGCTACTCTTTTACATCCACAGAGACAAAGTGGCTAAAGCTGATCTGCAGGTTTCATTTAACTTTAAATGGTCCAAGCAGGTCCAAATGAACTCTTCACTAACAATTGCAGCAGTTGTGTGCGCAATATAAACTGTTTGTAGTCTCAACTACATACAGTATACAGTGCTGTGTTCTGGCAGCGTGATGGGAACTTTCTGTCCAACTGCCAGGACAAAATAAAGGTGGCTGCTCAGCCATTCACAGGAAGGAATCTGATCAGAGGAAGCTTTGTTTTCATTCATAGAATTCAAAGCTTGTCCGTTTACATCCAACTGTCATCCGATCTGCTATACGAATGGGGAAGGGATCCCTCATTCGTCTGTTTTGATCAGATCAGATGCAGGCGGGTGTAAATGGACACGTTTACATCCACTTCTCCATAGGGAACAATGGATGGTCCAATTGAGCCCACCTGAAAAACAGATAGGCGGATCCCAACGGAGTGTGAAAGGGGCCTTCGTGAAGTAAATCGTTTTTTACGGACCAGCTTAGTCCAGACAAACTATTCAAAGTTAAATGAAGCCTGGAGATTAGCTTTTAAAGAGATGCATGGGAATTTTTTTTTTTTTAATTTTACTTATACCTGCCTAGCTGAATGTAGCATCGACCTGATGCTGCATTTGCCCCCCCTGCCGGTTCTAAGGGTGAGAACTGAGTGATCAGACACCACTGATCACTCAGTTCTCCCTGCCGCTCGGAGCAGAGAGCTGGGACTGTCAGTCTCCGGCTCTCTGCTCCTAAGCCCTCCTCTCTCCCCCACCTCACCTGGAGCAGGAGGGCCCATCTGGCTCAGGTTCTCAGCAGATCACAGAGGCTGAGCCAGGTGCTGGTTCAGGGTCCTGGGTGGGACAAACTGCACTCTTGTGATCCACAGGAGAAGTACAAGCAAACAAGTTTTGGCTGTACATCTTCTAAGGCGATTTTTAAAGGTTGTTTTTTTTTTTTTTTTGGAAAATAACAAACATGTCTATACTCACCTACTGTGTACAGTGGTTTTGCACAGAGCAGCCTGGATCCTCCTCTTCTCAGGTCCCCTGCAGGCTCTCCTGGCCCCTACCTCCTGTCGGGTGCCCCCACTGCAAGCAGCTTGCTATGGGGTCACCTGCTGCTCCATGTGTCCATTCACACACACAGTTGTGGATTGGCCCCACCCCCTCGCTCTCCTCATTGGCTGACTGTGATTGACAGCAGTGGGAGCCAAGGGCTCCTGCTTGCTTTCTCAGCCAATGAGGAGGCAGAGACCCAGGACAGCTGAGGCTGTCATTCACGTTGCTGGATCACATTGAGGCACAGGTAAGTATTGAGTGGGCTGGGTGCACTGCTGCACACACAAGGTTTTTTACCTTCATGCATTAAACAGTTAAGGGGACAAATCTGCTATTGAAATTAAATTTTTTCATGCCAGGCTATTTTTAAAACATGCTTGTTCAAAATAAAATCCTCAATTGCTTCACCCTGGTGTAAATGCAGTAGACTTTTGCCTTGACTCATCACCTTGCTCCTATTCACCTTTCCATAGAAATCCCACTAGTTGTGGATATAGGACATGATTTCCTTCCCTTGCACATTGCAGCCCCTAGTCTTCGACTAGCAGGTTACAAGTCCTGGCCACTGTCACATGATAGGTGAGAGGTGTGCCCAATTATGTGCTTGACTCCGCTTTCAGGAATTTTGTGTATATGATTGTGGGGATTGGTGTAGTCAATGGGAGTTGGCGGGCAATGTAACAATACCAGATGTCCCTACTACACAGAGTGGAGGTGGGATTGTTTTAATGGTAGATATTATTAAAGTCTTAATGATTATAATTACTTTTTTTTCAGATACCCCTATAGAGCCTGGAGAACGCCAAAAGATGCTGGAAGTCTTGGTCAGCCCTGCCATAAGCAGTACGTAGATTGGACAGCATTGCTGATTATTTATGTGTCCATTTCATAATGCTTACGTTGTTTTTTCTCTCTCAGGGACTACTTATGTTGGCGGGATGCTGTTCTGCTTAGGTGTTTTCTTGTCTTTCTACATATTTGCACTACTTATATATTGTTTGGAGCAATGGAGGTAAGCTTTGAATGTTCTCAATCAACATAAACCAGAAAGAAGTGGCTCATAAATGTTCTCTCAATAATATGTCTCTCAATAGCAAAGTAAAAGCTGATATTAATAGTATGGCATCTGTAAAATTCTTTCCTTGTTGCCTCATGTTATGGCAAGAATGTTTAGAGTAAACTCCATGTGATGAATCAGAGCTAGTCAGGGCTCAGTGGTAAATCCTAGTATGCCTAGGCTGCAGGATCTTAGAAGGACAATGAGATTTCTGGGTGACAATGAGCTGTGAATATTGGAAACATTCAGGAGTACTTCTGTATACCTGTAAAGATATAAACTTTCATTTAGACAAGTGATTATTTAAACATGGGACTAATTATTCTGCTTTGACGCACAGTCAGCATGATATATTGAGCTCTAGGCCCTGTCTTTTTAGTTATAGAATTCCTGTGCTGTTGATTGTAATATACAGATGCAACCAAAATGTTTCAGTAAGCAAAAACTGTGATTGGCTTGTTAAGGTATAAACATTTTTAAGAATAAAAATGTAAAGGTGAACTAACACTTGACCCCCCCCCCCCCAATCCCCACTACACTTACCTCCCCCTCCCCCCCACTACACTTACCTCCCACCCTCCCATCCCCACTTACACTTACCTCCCATTCCCACTACACTTACCTCTGGTAATCCTGAGCTGTAAGGGCTCCCACAGCCGGTCCAGTGGTCACACTGTTCTCCCTCTTTTCTGTCAGTGCTACTAGGACGGTCCAGGTGGATTTTGATTGGTCAGCACTGTCACATTGATGGAGCTGATCAATCAAAATCCATTTGGTCTGTTCTGGAAGCACAAAGGAAGAAGAGGGAGAACAGCAGGCATTTGGAATCCCCAGCATGCTGGATCAGTTGTGAGAGGCCTGACCACTCAGGATCGCTGGAGGTAAGGTCTGGTGTTAGTTCACCTTTTTGTTTTTTCTATGCAGATAAACTAACCTTTTATGGGAATGTTTTTCAAAATAGGTTGGAATATTCAGCGAGCTAAAGCTGAACACCAGCCTTTCCTTCAGTTTTTTGCAGATTTGTACAGGTTTTTACTGAAATTGCTTACTGTCATTTCACTGCACACTCTGTGTTTCTCACAGTGTACATTAAAAGCTACAGTGGGTCAGAGCCCACCTCATTCCTGGCTGGAGGATATCTAACATCATCCAGGTCTTTCCTTCCCAGGCTTACTGGCCACCCCCTTTTCATTGATTGGATTTTATTTCTTTCAATCATTGAGGCTCAGCATCTCATGTAGACATTACCTAGGGTGGTATGCATGCAAATGCACCCTATCTTGCAGTGCTAGCTACTCCAGGCTGACACCCACTCATCAAGGAATTTTGATACCTGCATAACTCCTCCTAAGAGCCAGCCCACTGCTTGCATCAGGGCTGTGGGCTGATGAGTGGAGTACTGAGGTAGGGTGCTGTAATGTTTTCAGGAGCTATGTAAATCACCCTGTCAGCTCCTCTCACCAGCCATGATCTGCCTGCTGTGCATAGAGAATCACAGTCAAAATCATTAGGCCTAAAGTAAGGTATTTCAGGAAAACAGAAGCATGTTGAGAAAGAGGAAAATGAGTCAAGGAGGGCAAAATACAAGCAGATCAAACTTTAGCTTTATTCTCCTTTTTCAATATTTTTTATTAGTTTAGCAAGAGAAAAAGATTACTGCTGTGCATTTAAAACATAGGTTTGAACATGGCACAAAGAAGAACAAAGATGAGTCCAATTGTGTATAGACTATCCAACGAACTTTATTCTCTTAACATGTTGATTGTCCTTTTTGAATGCAGACACATCTGTTTTGGCTTTGGCGTCTACTTGAAACGCATTTTGGCATTCGCTTTAGGAGTGACTCTCACTATAACCAACATGGCAAGTCGTGTGGTTATACATTACTGAAAGATCAAATTTGGTAGACTTGTTTTGCGACTATGTAAGCCAGCTCACAAAACATGCTGCCTGCAGAATGCTTTCCCAATGCACTGCCACGTGGCAGAGGGATTGCAATAGATTAAAATGTTCCTTGAAGCCGTCATGTTTTATGATTGCTGAGAAATATAGCAAAGCCAATTTAGTTCCTAAGTCACAGAGCTTTCTGTTCACAAAGCTGTATCTTTACCATACCAATCGTTCTTTTTAGATATGTCTACAATTTGTGTCCATCGTTGTGTAAAATACTGGCCATTGTAGGAAATAATGATCGTTTTTTGATCTGCACATGTGTTTCTAAACTTGCTGTTGCTTTGCAAAGATAACAGATTGCATAGGCGCTTATACATAGGTCCGAGCCTAGGATTTGTTCAGAAAAGTGTGACTGCGTGTAAAATGATTGCAGAGCACTATCTGTTCTACATTGTCTCCAAAACATTGTATGGATGGCTAGTCATGAGAGGATATGTGCAGACATATGCCAAAGCTGATCATGGCTATGTAATATAGTGGCATACAGCTTCCTAGGTCACAGGCTGATTTATGTATCCTAGAAATATACACCTTTGGGCTAGATGAATGCTGTATTGTCAATCACATAGAGATTATAGGGCTCATTTATAAATGATCGAGCAGGGAATATACTTTTTTGCAATCTTTATCAACTAAATAGATGTTAAATTTCATTTTGATTGACTGGTCTGAGAAACATTACCAGCCGTGTATTGAGAAGTGTTTGTTCTGAAGTGCAGTATCCTATAGAAATCGAATGTCTCTTCGGGATAAGGTTAATCTTGATTAATTGGTTTAGATTACTGCATTGGCACTCATCAAATAAAGCTGCAATGTTTTCTCTGTTATGGATTTATAAAAAATGAGCTTCTGGCATTTTTGTTTGGAATCAGAAAATCGTACGATTGTTCCTCATGTGGAAATGTTCGCCCCCGATTTTTCTTAGTGTGTACCCCGCTTAAGACACATAGAGCCTTGGCTCTTCCCCGTCCCTTGCTCTCTTCTCACTGGCTGTAATTGACAGCAGTAGGTCGCAAATGCATGAAGATAAAAAACCTTTAGCCTTTACAACCACTTTGTATTTCAATGGTTTTTATTAATTTATAACAATTAACACAGGAGCAACAAATCACGCCCACGCAGGGGCTATCAATTCTTTACAACCACTTTAATTGTCAGATATTACTCTTCAGGAATTATAAGGAATAGTACCCTGATTGTAAAAACTAAGGATGATATTACTCACCCTCTGCCTAATGGCTTCTAATGTATATTCAGAATACAGGGAAATCATGCTGTACTTTGCATATGGATTTTCTCACTATTATGTGTTTTTGCATCTAGAAGAAACAAGAAAGACACAGGCTTGCTGCATTCTGTGGGTGCTCTGAATGATGAAACAGGTAATTATGCTGTTAGGGGAAGGAGCAGTTGTCATTTGACAAATTTAGAAGAACATTTAGAGATGTTATAAGGGCAATCCACCTAAAATGGGTGATTGAGTTTTTTGGCAGATGCTGGAGTCTTAAAGCAGAACTCTGGAAAACTAACAAGTCCTCCCTTGCAGTGGGGCTGCAGCTGTATTGCAGGGGTTAGCTGCTCATCTATGCCTAGGGGACAGTGAAAAGCTGTTTTACCTACCTGATTCTCTGCTCCTGCAATATCCTCTTCTCCACTATGCTCGTCGGTCTAAGGTCCTTTGAAGTCATCAGTACTGTTGCAGGGTCCATAGCCCTGCATTGAAAACAAGAATGCCAAGGGAAAGTTTGCTTCTGGAGTGAAGGGGAGCATGGTCTGCCAAGGGAGCAGAGGACCAAGTAAGTAAACATGCTTATACAGCAGGTAAAATAAGTACTGAACATGTTACCATTTTTCTTAGTAAATACATTTCTACAAGTGCTATTGATATTTAATTTTCACCACATGTCGGTAACAACCCATGCAATCCATACATAAAAGAAACCAAAACAAGTTCAGAAATTAAGTTATGTGTAATAAAATGCAATGATACACGGAAAAAGTATTGAACACATGAAGAAAGGGAGGTGCAAAAAGGCATAGAAAGCCGAGACACCAGCTGAAATCTATCAGTAATTAAAAAGCAATCTGCCCCTTGTCAGTGCAAATTAATATCAGCTGGTTCAGTCTCAACTGGTGGCCTATAAAAAGGTGTCTCATTACCAAGATGTCATGCAATAAACATCTCATGATGGCTAAAAGCAAGCATTTCTCTCAAGACCCTTGTAACCTTATTGTTGCAAACTATACTGATGGCATTTGGTTACAGAAGGATTTCTAAATGTCTGAATGTTCCAGTGAGCACTGATGGGGCATTAATCCGGAATTGGAAAGGACATCATTTCACCATAAACTGGCCATGCTCCTCGCAAAATTTCTGACAGAGGAGTGAAAAGAATTATCAGAATAGTTGTCCAACAGCCAAGAACCACTTGTAGAGAGATTCAGAAAGACCTGGAATTTGCATTACTTATTGTTTTCTTTGAAATAATTGTACTTACTCTCAACTGCCATGGCCTGTATGCACGCTCACCATACAAGACTCCATTGCTGAAGGAAAAGCATGTTGAAGCTTGTTTAAAGTTTGCTGCACAACATTTAGAGAAGCCTGTGAAATACTGGGAGAATATAGTCTGGTCAGATGAGACCAAAATTGAACTCTTGGGATGCCATAATACACACCATGTTCAGAGGTCAAATGGCACTGCACATCACCCCAAAAACACCATACCAACAGTGACGTTTGGGGGTGGGGACATCATGGTGTGGGGCTGTTTTTCAGCATACGCTACTGGCAGACTACGTTTTATTGAAGGAAGGATGAATGGAAAAATGTACCAAGACACATTCTTCATAAAAATCTGCTGCCATCTACCAGGATGATGAAGATGAAATGAGGGTGTATATTTCAGCAAGACAATGATCCTAAACACAAAGCCAAGGAAACTCTCAATTGGTTTCAAAGAAAGAAAACAAAGCTGCTAGAATGACCCAGCCAATCACCTGACTTGAATCCAATAGAAAATCTATGGAAAGAACTAAAGATCAGAATTCATAGAAGAGGCCCACGGAACCTTCAAGATTTGAAGACTGTGTAGAAGAATGGGCCAAAATCACACCTGAGAAATGCATGCGACTACTTTCTCCATGCGTCTTGAAGCTGTCATTGCCAACAAAGGATTTTGTACAAAGTTTTAAATAAATTTCAGTTACCACGTTCAATACTTTTTTTCCCTGTGTCAATCCATTTTATTACACATAACTTAATTTCTGAGCTTATATGTTTGGTATCTTTGTATGTATGAATTGCATGGGTCGTTGCTGACGTGGTGAAAATTTCGTGCCGAATAGCACCTTATGGAAATATATTTACTGAGAAAAATGGTGATGTGTTCAATACTTATTTTACCTGTTGTACCTTCCCCTTGCAGTGCTGGCAGCACCTTATGGCAAAGGAGGTCTTTTTTTGTTTTCCAAAGTTCACCTTTAAATTGCCTAAATAACATTAAATGTCATGGTTAGTGTCTTACTGTAACTTCAAGTCCCTGAGAGACTTAGGTGCTGAAGTCTGTACATACACAACAGTAATTATGGGAAAGGCCCAATATTTATACCGGATCTTTAATATGTTTTATACCATGGAGAATGCAACAGGGCAAAAGGGAACTGTTGACACACCTCAAGAGTTGAGTGGGAACAGAACTTACAACTGTGGTGGGGAGTGTTCATCACAGCAGTACCCTAGGGATAAAAAAAAAACATCAGCTAATTAAATTTCACCTATATTTGTAAGATCATTTTTTTGTGGGCTGACCCTTTAGGAATCACTGGTATAGTAATAAAAAGGTTACTCAAGTGCATTTAAACTTGGTGCAGTGGATGTGAATAAAGCTTTGTGTTTAACTCATATTCCTAAATGTTAATATAAGGTTTTACATTTTTCCATTTGCAGTTCAAATAGAGATCTACAGGGTATTTGCTGATCTGCCAATATTTTATTCCTTTTTGAAACATAAAATACTTTACCCCTTGTAACGTGAACTAGCCTAGGTGTTTTTTGGACCCCTTATCAGTTCTTTTCTGTGACTTTTTTATATACCAGGATGAAGGCCCTGATAATTTTCTCTTTAATTGCTACATTTTCACTCTGCATTCACTAATGGTCTCTGCAATATGAGCTAGTTTACTAGTCTTAACTACGCTAGTACACTGTGATATTGATGATGGAAAGTGTTGGCATCGATATGCGTGGGACTGGTCACTGACTGGAAGGTGGCAGTGTATCTTTAATGGGTGAACATCTTTACCATGATAAGGTAGGATACCAGGGTGTAGGGTTGTGGAAAGAGAATAAACCTTTCAGATATGATTTGGTGCAAGTAGAATTCTTGGTTTCAGTGGATATCAAGGATGTTTACCTGTTCCGATCCTTCCACCTCACCAAAGGTTTTTGCAGTCTGCCTTGAAGGACTGCCCCGTTTAGTTTGTGGCCCTGCCATTCAGCCTTTTCATAGCCCCCAGAGTGTTCACCAAGGTTCTGGCTCCAGTCCTATGGCCCCTTTATACCCAGGGTACCCTCTGGTCTCTAGCAGGTAATCAGATTGCTTCCTCAGAACTAATGTGTCTCACGTTATGCACACTATGGAGAGATTCGGATGGGTTCTGATTTTACAGGAGTCATTCTTAGCTTCAACCCAAAGTTGGAAAAGTTAGGCCTGACGCTGGATACCTTGCAGGGGAGAGTGAGCCTCCTTCTGGAAGAATGTCTTGCTCTAAGGACTCGGGTAGACTTTCTCAATACACTGATCACTCTCCTAGCTTTTACCTTGTCTTCTTCACAGAATTCAAGTGGAAAGAATTCCAGTGATTCTGGTCACCCTGGTCTGGCCCAGGAGGACTTTGTACTCTGACCCTTGGATTCTTCCAGATTGACTCAACTTTTTGTTGCATGGTCCAATCTTCCATTCTTCTTTACAGTCTCTGACATTAACGGCATGGCTATTGAAGTCAGGGTCTTGGGAGGAGAGTCTGATTCAATCATTCCTACCCTACTGAAGACTTGCAAGGTTACTTTAACTGCTTCCACGCCGCCATATAGCAGATATACTGCTACACGGCGGCACCTATGCACAAAATGAGGTATACATACGTGATATCGCCTTTCTGGGTATGGGATACGCGCCCTACCCGTGCCGCCATTCGCGGCTGCAGATGTCAATCACAGGTCCCGGACAGTAATTACGGTGATTACCAACAATCACCAACGGGTTTGTTTACAAACAGTCTTCCTCCCTGTCAGTTCAAGCACACTGCTCGGGATGGCTGTGCACGGCACAACCATCCCAATCAATGTGCTTACAGTAAAGCGCACACACACCCGCCCCCTAGTAAAACACTCCCAGCACATATTTAACCATTTTATTGCCCCTCACATTAAACCCTTCTTTCCCAGTGCCATTAGTACAATGTCAGTGCTTTTTTTTTTTTTTGCACTGATCACTGTATTGGTGTCACTGGGGTGTCAGTGAGACCAAGTTAGTTCCCCCCCAGAACCCCCTAAAAGTCGCTGATCGCCGCCATTACTAGTAGAAAGAAAAAAAAAATCCCAGTATCTATACTGCCATTTGTGAACACTATAACATTCACATAAACCAATTAATTTACAAGTATTAGGATTTTTGTTAGCAAAGACATTTAGCAGATTTTTTTTGGCCGAAATGTATGACGAAATTAGATTTTTTTGAAATTTTTTTACTGGACATGTTTAATAGCAAAAAGTCCAAAACATTGTTTTTTTTTGTTTTTTTGGGTTTTTTTTTTTTTTTTTTTTTCACAAAATTGACGGGCTTTTTCTGTTTATTATGCAAAAAAAATAAAACCCCACAGGCGATCAAATATAACCAAAAGAAAGCTCAATGTGTGGGGAAAGAAAGGACGTAAATTTCATTCGGGTGCAGCGTTGCATTACCGTGCAATTGTCAGTTAAAATAACGCAGCGCCGTAACACAAAAAAATGCGTTGGTCATAAAGGGGGGTAAATCCTCAGGAGGGCAAGTGGTTAAAAAGATTTACTAAGGAACTTGGAAATCTTATTTTGCATTGTGTGATGCTAAGGAATTTCATCCTTGCAAGTATATTGTTGCATTCTGGCTTTTCTCCAGTCTGGAGTTGCTCTGGGACTATTCTTGAGTATGGCTAGGATCAGATTTTGGTTTTGCTGGTCCTTTTCAGAGACCAATTGCTTCACATTGCTTGACACAGGCTTTTGTGCAAGGCATCATGCATATTGTTTCACTGGTCAGGACTCCAACAATATTCATTTAGTCCTTTTGATTCAGAAGGGTATTTTTCTAGTTGCCATTACTTTGGCCCACAGAGTTTTGGATGAGATCGTGTGAAATGCGTCCTTATTCATGTCCTGGTGTTTTGTGTGTCCTATGGATCAATAAATACACACTATATTCATCTATTCTCCGGTGTGTGGCTGACCCTTCTTCTTATGCCATTACTTTGGTCAACAGAGTTTTGGAATTACCTGGTCTTACTTGCTCCTGGTGCTACACCATGAGAAGGTGGTTGTACGGCCTCAGCCATCATTTTTACCTAAGGTGGTTTCTTGGTTCCATTTCAAGCAGTATATTTTTTTTATATATTTTTGTCCTAAGCTGCAGATGCTGGAGCTGCATACTGCTATGTGTCACCTGAAGTTGAGTGCTGCAATTCATCAGTTGGATTCCTTCTTTGTATTCCTGAAGATTCAAGGAAGGGTCATTCAAATCCAGTATTTCTCGATTGTATCTTACAAATCAATTTTCCCATGATGTAAGGTTGTAAAGCTGTCAGCTTATTTCTCAAAGCTTATGGATTTAAAGGGCAAATGCTGCTTCAACAGGCTCAGGCTTCTAACAGTAGCTCAAGGTGTTGTAAAGCTGCTGCCCCTGGTCTTGTGGCCTGTGTGTATAAAGAAAATGGGATTTTGCAAAATTTTTTCTTGGAGTACATGATGGGACACAGAGCTATCCTGACCCTCTTTTTTTGTGGTTCATGGCCTGCTATGAAAACTGAAGCCTTGCCTAATGGGGAGGGGTTTATAAACTACCTAGAAGGGGATTTCTCATCCTTTTTTTTTTTTTTTTTTTTCCCCCCCCCAGTGTCCAATCACCTGATGGTGACAGTATAACCCTATTGTAATGGGTCGAAGACACTTTGTCCTATGATATACTTCAGGAAATTGTAACCCACAAATCCAATTTTTTCACAATAAAAATCTGTCAAATGCATTTTGGGGGTCATACACAAATCACTGTTTATTAGGACTATAATACAATAAAGACACATTTTATGTAACAGTCTCTATAAAATGTTTATATTCTGTTATAGCCATGTGAAGTGGGATTTGTTATGACCCCTGAAATGCATGGACTGTCAACGTTTTATAGACTCTCTTGTTGTGAAAAATAAAAAATCCCTATCTGGACCAATCCTTATGTCCTTTGGGGCTTTCATCCTTCCTTTCCATACAAGATATCTCTCCCAGAAACCACATTGGGGTTCCACCCTACCAGCAATAGAAAGCTGCCACACTATAACGATCATGTGATACAGTCAAATCTACCATCAAGCTTTGAGCCCAGTTCTCCACCACACACATTTCCAGTTTTTCGTTTAGACATTTGCAGTATTTCACCAGCCCACCCCCATTCCCTTTGTAAGCTGGTGATCCTGGAATACACTTGCTTGTGACTCTGGAACACCCTACTTGCTGCTTCTCACTGTCAGCAAATCCTTTGTTCTGGCATTGTTTTATATCAAGATTTCTGTATGTCTGAATAAAACCTGCATTTGAATTTGGTCTGTGATTGGCCAAGAAGAAAGCTGGGAGAGCGAGTTACACAGCACAGGCTTCAGGAAGTATACTCCGACTGTCGCCCTACCTATCCTGTGAAGAAGTTTGTAATTAACCTGCAGGGATTACTTCCGAAAAGATTAAGAGAAATAGAAAATGAAATGGAAATCCCTGACTTTAACACTTTAGCAGAGTTTACTAGGTAGGGTTAGTTGCTCTCTTGTTGAACTGAACTGGTCTTTGCAAATTGCACTGTTTTGGAAATCACAAATACAAGCAAGAAATGTAAATGATCTGTAGATTATATTCCGTAGTTCACTTGTTTGAATCACTTAGTAAAGTATCTTTATCTTCTTATGTTTATTGTAATTTAACTGGTTATTCCTTTATTTTTCTGCTTTCGATGTTCACCATTTGCAGCCTCACTGCTCGGTAAGATTTGTGGGGAGAACTGATATTAAAATGATGCCCTCAAGTATGATTGAGAAAGCTTTGAAATTACAGTATGACTTCTTCTTTATCACATAACCATTCACTAACAAGATTTTATTCTCATAAGAGTTTACTCACTGCGTTTTGTTTTTCACAAATCCTTGAAGAGACCCTGCACTGATATCTTCATCCAAGTTTAGTAATCTGACATGTTTATGCAGTAATTTAAAGTACTTATTAGTCATGCGAGCCTTCTTCTTTTTTTTTTTTTTTAAGAGTGGGGAAAGATTAAAGATCCTATTGGGTTTTTACTGCTGTCCAGAATCTCTGTTAGATTCTCCCTAATTTCCTGCCCTGCTTACAGTGGTTTCGCCAACAGGAAACAAGTGAAAATTTGCAACACGGGTGTAAACAGATAAAAACCAGACAGGGGTTCTGGCCTTCCCCTCTTCTACTAAAGGACATCATTTTTATTTGTCTTGTGTGGTTGTTGGAGTTCCCTCTTGGGGTGCATGCATACGGACACCTGTTGCCGTACAGTGTAACTTTTGGCCGTAATTCCTTGCAGGTGCTGCGTACAGCCGTGTCAAAGACATAAATGGCTGTACAGACCTGTATGAGGGTACATTTGTAATCTGTGCATGCATACAGACTGTCTGCATTCAGGGTTTTATGCCTGTGCCCTTCCACACGTACAGTTATTCATGTCTATGGGGTGGTTGTTCACATCACCTGCAGAGAAATACCCCTGAAGTTTGCACTGTACGGCCATGGATGGCTATGTGCATGGACCCTGACCTCCTATCTGGTAAAATGTCAGCAGGATAAGAAGTCTCTATAACAAAGCCCCAGATAGCAGTGAAAACCTGAAAAGGGTTGTAACCCTTCCTCCATGACATCCAAAATTAAGAGAAGGGGGTTTGAGTAGACATTCACCAAAAATAATGATTTGAAAAAAATGGAAAACATTTGCTCCTTTCCCCCTTGTGCCGAGAGCATTTCTACAGGATATGTACAGAATAGTATTGGTGGAAAAATAAAGATGAAGATCTCAGTCTGGTCGGGTTGATGTGGTGGTATATTGCATGGGACACTTTTATGAAAGAGGTTGTGAACTGTGTGTCAGGATAAACTAAACTTGACAAATAATAAATATGGTAATGGTAAATCCTGGCCCAGTACCTACATAAAATGTCATAATGTGACCCCTGGACATTCCGTCATGGTGGGGTGCTTTCTTACAAATTTATATCCGGTATCATGGGCCTTAACAAATTGCAGTGTTAATCACAGGTCACAACCTTTATGACTTCTACATTGTCCCGGTACATAGTGTGTTATACCTCTGGAAGTCTCTCCATATTCCTGCTTTCATTGTGTTGTCTGTTCTTACAGGAAAATCTGCTATAGCACAAAAATATGATGGCTGCGGGTATGGCTCACTGGGTAAGTGTTTACCAGATGTATCATAGATGTGATGTATGGATTCTTTACACACACAGGAGTCATTAACAATACCTGCTCTAACAGATTTACGAATGATTGGTTGTTTGCCCATATGGAAACTGTTTGAAGCTGAACTTCAGGCCAACAGCTAAATTCACAGATGAAACCCAAATATGGAGGTTTTAATACCTGCCAGATAATTTGTATGACTGTCCAGGCCTGTGATTTACACAGCTTTGCCCCACAGCACAGCCCATTTAATGATTTATTAGTGAATATGAAACTGCATTCATTTTGTGTCTTTTATATCTGCCTGGAGTTCAGCTTTACATGAAACACTTGTGTATTGTACTAAATCAATATTTACCCTTCTCCTTTATAATCCCTCAAAAAGTCAATACTTCCTCCCTAGAAAATGCAATATCATATATATACCTTTTTTGATATATTATAATAAATAAATTAAAATAAACATAAATTTAAACATAAAGTGTACAATAAAGTCCAATGAATCAGTAAAAGTGTCCAAAAAGAAAGTCCAAACAGTGTCCAAAAAATGTCCCAAATTTTCCAACTTTTTCATCCAATAGAAGGATTAACTCCTCTTCCATCCATTATGCACCTCAAAGTAAAAAATACAAAATCTAGTGCGTTACCTTAATAAATAAAATAATCACCCCGTGCAAATCACAATTCACTTAAAAAAAACATTTGTGCAACAGAGAAAAAAAAAAAAATTATATATTTAAATAAAATAAATTATTCCAATCCAAATTGCTTTCTTATAGTGCTTATAATCACACAAATCAAACTGTGAGCACTTAGTGATCACTACAACTCAGTGTATACCATCAACCAGCACACAGTAGTACTAAATACTATTACCCTTTATGAGTATTGAAATACTAAGCAATACTATGGATCATTACTCCTCCATACTCTCTTCAAAGATATATTTTTCCAAGGTCCTCAGAAAGATAAGAATGGTCTCAAGACTGGTATTCAAAGCATAGGGATAACTTTTTATTAATCACTTACATTAAAATTCAAGATATTCAGCTCCAGACATGGTTCTAAACTCAATCCACCAAACCATGTGGAAAACCATGTGTGGATAACCGACAAAATGGCCGCGGCGACACTTCCGGTCTGTGTACGTGCGTCTTGACGTCACTCAACTAACACGTTTCGTCACTTCCGGACTTCGTCTTTTTTTTTTTTTTCTCTGTTGCACAATTTTTTTTTAAGTGAATTGTGATTCGGGGTGATTATTTTTATTTATTAAGGTAATGCACTAGATTTTGTATTTTTTACTTTGAGGTGCATATTGGATGGAAGAGGAGTTAATCCTTCTATTGGATGAAAAAGTTGGAAAATTTGGGACTTTTTTGGACACTGTTTGGACTTTTTTTTGGACACTTTTACTGATTCATTGGACTTTATTGTGCACTTTATGTTTAAATTTATGTTTATTTAATTTATTTATTATAATATATCACAAAAGGGTATATATATGTGTATTGCAATATATACATATATATTGTGTCTTAAAGTATATGTAAGGGAAAATGTCACCAGCACACTGAGGATCACCAATATGGGTCCAAAAGTTATAATGAACGATCACATAGTTACAGCAAGGCAACGTTTCGGAATCTCGCAGGATGATGCCTGATGAAGGGGTCCCGGGAGACGCCGAAACGTTGCCTTGCTGTAACTATGTGATTTTTCATTAAAACTTTTGGACCCATATTGGTAATCCTCAGTGTGCTGGTGACATTTTTCCTTGCTGATTCTGTTCGGTTGCAGACGATGGTTGCTCAAGCACACACTTATACACACAGCCATTTTTAATGTAGGAACGTGTGCGTTCGGCTTGTACACTTGCATTAAAGTATATGTAAACACAACCACTGAATACTTGTATCAATTTCTAGCTTTCACCACCCACCACTGTTCTCACCATCAGGGGTTCCCAGCATTGATACACAGCGACACTATAATGATTGCATGTAGTCAGGAAGTGGCTGGAACAGACTGGAGGAGATCAGCTGCACTGAAATGCTAGAATGTGTGAAAATTAGTATTTTGTGGAGAAAAAAAAAAAATCTGGTAATCCTGGCATGCAAGATTGTTCAAGCAGTACCTGTTATAGGGAGACAGGTGTCACCTTGTACTCCTGCATTCACATGCTGGGGTTGATTTACTAAAGGAAATATTCTATGCACTGCAAGTGCAGTTGCTCTAGATCTGAGGAGAAGCTCTGCTGATTTCTATCATCCAATCATGTGCAAGCAAAAGTGCTGTTTTTTTTTATTTTTCTTGCATGTGATTGAGTATTCTTTTCAAAGTGAACCTAATTTACTAAGCTCTGGAGTAACTGCATTTGCAGTGCACAGTTTATTTGTCTTTAGTAAATCTCTACCATCTCTATCTGTCTACCTCACCTCACCCCTTCAGCTTCTCCCCGCATCGCTAGCCTACTAAGCGACATATCGGCTTGGATGTCACTCCACTTCCTCAAACTCAACCTTTCCAAAACTGAGCTTCTAGTATTCCCTCCAGCCCGTGCCCCCTCCCATGACTTCTCCATCAAGATCAATAACACAATCAGTCCCTCCCCTCATGCCAGGGTACTAGGTGTAATCCTAGACTCCCATCTGTCCTTCCAGCCCCAGATCCAATCGCTTACAAAATCATGTAGACTTCACCTCTGCAACATCTCCAAGATACGCCCGTTCCTAACCCCGGTAACCACTAAGCAACTTGTTCACTCCCTCGTCATATCTCGCCTCGACTATTGCAACTCCCTCCTCATTGGCCTACCTCATCGCAGGCTATCCCCTCTTCAGTCTATCATGAATGCTGCTGCCAGACTCATCCACCTTACTAACCGTTCCGTATCTGCCATCCCTCTCTGCCAATCCCTCCACTGGCTCCCAGTTGCCCAATGGATAAAATTCAAAACTAACAATGACATATAAAGCCATCCACAACACTGCCCCAACTTACATAACCGATCTTATCTCTAAATATCACCCAAACCGTACTCTCTGCTCCTCGCAAGATCTCCTACTCTCTAGCTCCCTTATCTCCTCCTCCCATGCTCATCTCCAAGACTTCTCCAGGGCGTCACCCATCTTCTGGAACTCCCTACCCCAATCTGTCAGACTATCACCTACTCTACTTGCCTTTAGGCGATCACTGAAAACCTTTCTCTTCAGGGAAGCCTTTCCCACCCTCTGCTAATTCTGGAATCCTCTACTCTTCCAACCACTCCATCCCCCACAGTGACTACCTACTGTACCATTCACCCCTCCCTCCTAGATTGTAAGCTGCAAGGAGCAGGGCCCTCAAATCCCTCTTGTATTGTTACTGTATTGTCTCCCACCATAATATAAAGCGCTGAGCAAACCGTTGGCGCTATATAAATCCTGTATAATAATAGTAAATCAACCCCATTGTCACATATGAAACTGTGCTGACACACCTTGTGCAAGCAAGGTCAACCATTGTCAGTATCACAAAGGTGATCCACACAACTAATGTGAAGGCGCTGCTGGAGTGTGTGAATGTAGACAGGAAGTGGCTGAAAGAGGAACTGAGTACTGAGATTAAAAAAAGAGACAAAAACCTGGCAATTGTTTGTGCTCAGTACTTTAGAAAGCTAAATATCATTCTATTAGGGTTTAGATCTACTTTAGTTACATAATTAGTCTGGCTGAAAAAAGACAAAAGTCCATCCAGTTCAACCATTAAAAAAAAAAAAAAAAGTTATAATCCTATACCCACAGGTGATCCAGAGGAAGGCAAAAAAAAAAAACCCAGCAAAGCGTGATCCAATTTGCTCCTGCAGGGAAAAGAATGCCGAGAGGCAGTTGGATATTCCCTGGATCAACTTTACCTATAAATGTTAGTATCCAGTTATATTCAGTGTATCTAAGAAAGAATCCAGGCCTTTTTTAAATCAATCCACTGAGCTGGCCAGAACCAACTCTTGAGGGAGTCTATTCCACATTTTCACAGCTTTCTCGGTGAAGAAACCTTTCCCTGTTTGGAGATTAAAATTCTTTTCTTGCAGACATAAAGAGTAGTTCCCACTTGAACTTTCAGTTTAATCTATTAAGCACATTAGAGATGCATCAAAACAAAAAGTACTTCTGTTTTTTTTTAATGTATAAAGCAGCCACAGCCTGAGTTTCTTCCAGCAGCTGCACAGAGGGACCCTTGCACCCCATGGGGAAGCGGTGATCTTCTTGCAGAGCTTTAGTGCCCCCTACTAGCTAGACCTTGCTACTTACTGATTTGAGGGCTATGATTCAGACTCCACAGGGGGCATGTTGGAGTGAGACCACTGCTTCCATACAGAAGGACCCACTCTGCAGCTGCTGACAGGCTTTTGATTAAAAAAAAAAAAAAAAAAATACCGTAAGTCTGGCTATACATGTTTTTTTCTTTTCTTTCATTCAGCCAGTGGGCCAAACAAAAAAAAAAAAAAAAAAGATTTCTTCATCTACAAAAATGAGGCAGATAGAGGGATCCCCCTCAGCGGGACCTTGTCTTCTGACAGCAGCACCTGCTGTTGTCAGGATACACTGACTGGTGGCTGCAGCCGCTGATCATTGGAAAATTTTCCAACCTGTGCCTTCAACTGAAGTCATTTTACCCTGGGTTCACACCTGTGCTGGTGGTGCCGCTGCAGATCAGCATGAAAATCCGTGCAACCGCACCACCCGCACGGAGGAATGCGGACCTGCGAGCGGGTGCCATTAGTTCTAATGGCACGCCGCCTGCACTGGAAAACGCAATCGTACTGGGAACCGATGTTCCCGTGCGGGCTGCGTTTTCAAACGAAGTGCAGGGACTTCTTCTCTGCATGTCATGGGCATGGGAGTCCATTCAAATGAATGGGCTCTCGTGCCCGTGCAAAACGTGGCCCGCACGGCTGCATATATGTGAACCGGGGGTAAATAACTGACTTCTTTGTGCAGGGAAGTCTACACAATGTGCCTGCTAGATCCATCAAATTTTGATCACTGTATGGCCAGCTTAAGACTTCAGTCATGTAACTGGAGGCAACTCGCCTACAACAGGATTGCTAAAGAGACAAAACACTTGCTCCTATGGCATTGCTCCTCTTTGGCTGATACTACAGGATCGCACTCAGCGAGGGAGCAGCGGCAGAGTGAGGAAGTGGTGCTGTAGGAGCGGAGTGCTCTCTGATTCCTTCACTGGCCTTACAAGCAGTTACACAGATTTACAAGTACTAAGTACTAGGGCTGGGAAAAACTAGGATCTTGTGCACAGCAACCAGTGACATTTCTCCCATATTAAGAAAATGTTCATATAGTTTATTAGGCACAGTGGCTCCAGTAATCTTCAATGAGTTACAGAAAATTATATCTAAGTTTTTATGTTTTTTCTATATAAACATACTTCTTTCTTTTGTAGCAGAGAACAGTTTAGTGGGAAGTCCAGAAGATTGTACAGACAGTCCGGTATCTTCAGCAGAGGCTTCATACAGTTATACAGGTAACTTAATGCCATACATATGAAAGGAAGTTAGTACTCCTTAGGCAATACATATGTCAACTTTATTACTTATAAGACCAACCTGATTTAATTAGCAAGAAAGCTGCAGGCGCTAGAGACGGATTCCTGGAATAAATGTAAAACCTTATGGTATGTTTGGATGCATTACAATACATCTGATGCACTGAATGCCCTGACTATCACCTAGTCCCTGGGGGGACTGCATGTCTAATAGGAGGTTGTCTCTGGTTTAAATCCCTCTGTAGTCATGGTTAGGTTATTTCACCTGTTTCTCAGTTTTGGGCAGTTAATTGAAGTAGGCGCTCAATAAAATAGTGCAATCGTAATAATCATACAAAATCTGAATCAATAGAACATAAAAATCATTCTAATGTGACAGGTAACTGGTGTCTAATTCTTTCAACTCCAAATTGTGTTCTACCACCGTGTATGGCTGAAATGGGAACTCACCAGATCACCAAAGTAGCCAGCAAACTTGTAAACACAGATCCTATATGCCTTGGGTATGATGCAGAATCCTTCAACCTCCTCCAATCTAATGACATTACACCACCTTCTCCATGTTCAGTATCTCAGAAAAAGGCCAAGGAAATAATCATAATGTGACAGATTCTTTGTTTAAAAATGTGTAAAAAAATATATATATACAGTATTACCTCGGTTTACGAATTTAATTTGTTCTGCAGGATTTTTCGTATAGCGAAAAATTTGAAAATCGAAACGCCATTTCCCATAGGAATGCATTGAAAACCAATTAATCCGTTCTGAAGGTCAGAAAAAGTAAACTCTACTAAAAAACTGCATGAGTTATTTTGTCAAGTCATACGGTATTTTAGTAGTGACAACCATGTGTTAATATTTCAGCTGTCAGCGGGGTTCCACACTGACAGCTGAATGTAAAAGAATTGCCGGCAATTAAAAAAATTATTTAAAAAACGGTATGGGGTCCCCCCCTCCCATCCATACCAAGCCCTTCGGGTCTGGTATGGATTTTGAGGGGAACTCCCACGCCAAAATTAAAAAAAAAAAAGTGTGAGGGTCCCCCCCAAAATCCATACCAGACTCTTATTCGAGCATGCAGCCTGGCAGGTTAGGAATGGAGGGAGACAAGCGAGCAGTCGTCCCCCCCCCCCCCCCCCCCCCCCCCCCCCCCTCCAACCCCCCCCCTCCCCCCCTATCTCGAACTATACCAGGCCACATGCCCTCAACATTGGGGATTGCTTTGGGTCAGCAGCGGCGGTAACAGTGGGCATCGTGATTGACGTTGGATCTACTGCAGGGCACATTCTTTTAGTTTTTTCTTTTAATAAAGTACTTGTCAAAGACCATGTCCTGTCTTTTTTCACACTATACTTTTTGTTTTTTGTGAATGAGTAGGGGTACCATGTACCCCATACTCATTCACATGGGGTGGGGGGGGGGCTGGGATCTGGGGGCCCCCTTGGTAAAGAGTGGTTCCAGATTCTGATAAGACCCCTGCCCGCAGACCCCCACAACCACCGTCCACAGCTGTGGGCATCAACATGAGGACAAGGTGCTTTGAGGGTGGGAGAGAGCACCCCAAAGCACCCCCCCATGTTGAGGGCATGTGGTGGTATGGTTCAGGAGGGGGGGGTGCTCACTTGTCTCCCCGCTCCCCTTTCCCGACCTGCTGGTCTCTTCCGGTTTAGGGTAGATGTAAACTACGTTTTTGTTTTTTTATCTGATGCTTTCAAGGGTAGAGGAGAGATCTGGGGTCTGATAGATCACATATTTCTCCATAAACAGGACCTGTCATGCTTTATTGTTATCACATTAATGGGATGTTTACATATCTTGTTATAAACAATAAAAGTGATTAAAAAAAATTAAAAGGACAGTTTAAAAATAAAAAAAAAGTAGTAAAAACGTAGGTTGCACCCGCATTTGTAAACGATGTTTGCACCACACATGTGCGGTTTTGCCGTAGACGTTATAGTGAGAGCAATAGTGCTAGACCTGCTCTGTAACTCTAAACTTGTAACTTGTAAAAAAAACGTTTAAGCATTGCCTATAAAGATTTTGAAGTACTGTAGTTTGGCTCCTTTTCTCAAGCATGCACAATTTTAAAGCGTGATGTGCTAGGTGTCTATTTACTCAACATAACGTTATCTTTTATATTGTACCAAAAATTGGGTTATGTATTGTATTGTTTGCATTAAAGTTCATTAAAGTGCATTTTTCCCAAAAAATTGTGTGTTTGAAAAACTGTTGCTTGTGACTTAAAAAAATTGCAACAACCACCATTTTATTCTCTATGGCCTCTGCTAAAAAATTATATGTAATGTTTTGGGCTTCTTGGTAAAATCTGTATAAAAAAAAAAAAAAAAAAAATGGTATAATTTTATAATACAAAAGACATAAATCTAGAACAGAGAGATTTACAAAGTCCATTGTAGAGACTGTCGTCTTTTAATTTTATATATGATTGCATGTATTGCCAGAATACAGTGACATCACGGTATATTAATGCACACAGAGTCATTTTTTGTTTTCTGGTTACTTACTTTTTACAGATAAATCTCTTGAGAATCTTGTGTCCCGTCCAAGGTTGGAGTCTCTGAGTTCTGTAGAGGAGGATGATTATGACACACTGACTGACATAGAATCTGATAAGAATGTTATCAGGACAAAGGTAAACTATAATAAAGATATAAGAATTTAATGCATATCTAAACACAAGATAAAAAAAATGTATTGCCCCTTACCCGTCCTTAGATGTGGTGGCGGCACTTGTTTGCTCTATTTCCTTAGATTTCACCTGGTGATCCAACAAATAACACACTTGCTCTTGAACTGAACTGCATCTATGGAGGAACAGCATTGTTATCCTTGGACAGGACTGCAGAGCACCTTCCTTTTCTCTTCTCCATAATATAGGGGAGGTGTTCTATAGTTCCTGGAGGTAGCAAGTGCAGGGATAAAGCAGGATTAAAAAAAAAATGCTGACAGGCAGAGATTTTATGTCAGAAGAGAAGGGTCTCTTCTGCTATAAAAATCCCACCTGCTAGCGGTAATGTACACTGAGCCAGGCATTTGCAGTTCAGAGTCTGTTATGGCACCTGCTTTGTTCCTTGGCACTGTGACTCCATGTGCATGCTTGGGAGTGACGTCACTGCACCCCAGCCCAAAAGCACAAACTTGGAAGGAAGACTAGGTGAACATGGAACCACCCGTGCACTGACAGTGCAGAGCTGGAGGGCTTCCTTTTGACAGGTAAGTCTGCCATAATGTCTAGTAGTGGTGCATACTAACACATGGCATAAAGCTACAGGGGCCCAGATTAAAAACATTGAGTTTACTGCCACTTTAATAACACTAGTACAGAAATCAGCACAGGAGTTTTGTCGGGATCAGCAGGTTTTAGTTTCTTTTTTGCACTTATGAAGTGGATATAACAGAAGGCTTTCATTTGTATGTTTAACAGACCAACTTACCTAGGTGGATTGATGCTGCATCTGTCTCCTGTCGGCTCTAAGGCTGAGAACTGAGCGATCAAAAACAGCTGAGCGCTCAGTTCTCCCTTCCGCTCTTAGCAGAGAGCCATGACTATCAGTCACTGATGTCTGTTCTGCCCCTCCAGCGCTCATTGGAGAGTCAGGCTGAGGAGGGGAGGGAGTGGCTGGCTCCCAGAGCCTGAGAGGCTGAGCCAGGTGCCAGTCCAAGCTCCTGAGTGGATCCTGACCATATAATCACGGTCTTTCCCCAGTCAGGACTGGGACTGTGACATCTGGTGACAGCAGGCTTTAGCCCATTGCTGAAAATAGGTCACAGGAGTGCAGAATAAACTGCAACTCTGTGAGCCATAGACGTACAGCCAAAGGAGCTTTGAAGTGTATGTAAACCTTATGTATTTATATGCAGTGTTTCATCATGACTGGATTTATTTTTTTATTTTATTGAAACATTTTAAAAGTTTTAGATCTGATAAACATACAATATAATAGCTGTCATTTTATTTTTTTTTTCTTTTAGAAGTATCTTTGTGTTTCTGACCTCGCAAGAAAAGACAAACGCGTGATGCGCAAAAAGTACCAAATATATTTCTGGTAAGAAACTCTGATATTTAACCTCTTGCCTACTGGGAACTTTCACCCCCTTCTTGCCCAGGCCAATTTTCAGCTTTCGGCTCTGTCACATTTTGAATGACAATTGTGCAGTCATACAGCACTGTACCCAGGTGACATTTTTGTAATTTTTTTTTTTTTTTTAGACAGATACAGCTTTCTTTTGGAGGTATTTAATCATCACAGTTTTTTTTGTTTTTGGTAAATAAGTAAGGACACAAAAAAAATGTTTTCCTCATTTCTGTTAGAAACTTTTGTGAATTAGTAATTTTTCTTCTTCGCTGATGGATACTGATGAGGCTGCACTGTGGGCACTGATAGGTGGCACTGATCTGTGCTGATGGGCTACACTGATGGGCACTGCTAGGCTGCACTAATGGGGATGCACTGTTTATCAGAACACTGATGATCATTGTCCTAATTATCAGTGTAAATGTGCCTGTGAGAATTGCCAGTTAATGCCTTTCCTTTCCTCGCTCTGTCACAGCGCATGAGGAAAAGACTGCCAATAACCGAAAAGTCTGTTTACACTGTGATCATCTGTGATTGGACACAGCTGATCACATGGTAAAGGGCCGCTGTGATTGGCTCTTTACCTCGCTCTGGGGGGGGGGGGCAAGGTTTTAGGAGAATGTCAATAGACCCCCTCCCAGAACTAGCCGACCGCACTGTAGCCATCATTCAGCTGTTGCGCAGTCGGCAACTGGTTAAATATATCAAAAAAAGTCATAGGCGAAACCTTACCTAAACTGCATTTTCTTAAATTGCATCCTTAGACTCCTGTATGTCTAAGTCCCAAACCCAGTTACTATGTGATGCTCAAGACATATAAAATAAACACCTTCCTTTATCACCCCTAACTGCCAAATTCTCCATCATATGTGTGTCACACATTCCCCCCTCCCAGACACTGCAGATCACATTGGAAGGGTTTCTGGAACAGAGGCATTGCTATCAAGAAAGCAGTGGGCAGGACTAGGTGTGGCCAGGTGTTGATTGACAAGCTTAGGGGCTTATGAATCAACAGTGACTATGCTGATATACCTGCCTCCTGCAACATTTTTCACCCCTTTGCCTACATAGTAGTGACAACTTTGCACTTAAGCCAGAAGCAGTGCAGCAGCGTTGCCACCAAATAACAGTAAATGGGTAAATGGAACTCACTAGCAAGATGAACAGATATTTATGGGACCTTGTATGGAGACAAAAACTGTAAGTGCAGATGGATGTATTATTAAAGTGGTTGTAAAGACTCATTCTATGCATGAAAGTAAAAAACTGTGTGCAGCATCACCCCCAGACCCCCCTAATACTCACCTAAGTCCCCTCTGGATCCAGCGATGTGCACTGGAGTCTCAGCTATCCCGGGACTCCCTCTTCTCATAGGCTGAGACTGAAGCGGGAGCCATTGGCTACCACTGCTGTTAATCACAGCCAGTGAGCCAATGAGAAGAGAGGGGGGGTGGGGCCGAGCCATGGCTCCTTGTGTGAATGGACATGCGGAGCACCCTTCAGGAGGGAGGGGCCAGGAGAGCTTGTAGGGAACCCGAGCAGAGGAGGATCCAGGCTGCTCTGTGTAAAACCACTGCACACACCAAGTATAGACATGTTTTTTATTTTTTCTTAAAAAAAAAAAGCCTTTAGAATCACTTTAAGTGCTGCAGCACATATTTTTTAGTGGTAGGCCATAGTTCTACTTCAAATGATGTGGTCTTTGAACCATTTTGGGCAGAAAGAAGTAGGTTAACCAACAATGGTACCTACTGTATAATTTGATGTGATTCATCTGTAAAGAGATCTGGGTGATTGGAGAGGAGTGCCCGATGTCCAAAAAAAAAGTCTCACTTGAGGAATTTTTATAGTTTGTTTATTGAAGATTAGAGTAAAGAAGTGGAGGCAACGCATTTCAGTGGAATTGTCGTCTCCTTCTTGGAGAATGGTTAGACTCTGAGCGGGGTAAATATATTCGATCAGCCGCTCCAGAGTATACCAGTGTTGTGAAGCAGAGACAGCCACTCCGCCGAAATGTGTTGGGTCTACTTGTTTACTTTTATCTTCAATAAACAAAATGTATCAAGTGAGACTTTTTTTGGACACGCCTCCATTGTCGTTATCAGAAAGGTAGCAGCCCTAGACACCAACAGTGTCTCACACCCACCACCTACAATTGGGATATAACCCATTGGATTGGAAGCAATTCCCTCTATATCTTCCACACAGTAACTTGCCGCTGGGTAGCCTCCAGGGGCACCAGTCCAGCGCTATCTTCAACACAAACAAATCTGGGGCACTATGTAAAACAATTTTTCTATAAATACACACAGCCCAGCGCACAGGAGAACACCCTGTGGGTGGGGCGAAATGCGTTGATGCACTTCCGGTCTGCCGTCTTGACGTCCCGTGTCATATCCGGTGAGTGGAACGCACGCTGTGCGTTGCGTTCCAAGTGGCCATTTTGAGAATTGTTTGAACATTGTCCTGTCATCTCCTGCTGATCAGTCTGTGAGGTTTCTACTATTGAGCATGGAAACACTGGATTTTATGTGAGCCTATGGAGGCAATAAAAAATGCTGTTTTTTCATCTGACAAATTGGAGTCTGGAGTGAGGACAAGGCAGGAGCCAATAAGGAGTTCTTCCCAAATCATTTATGGTGGAAAGGAGTCCAGGGGTTTTAGAGGGGGCTTGGGATTCCTAGATATCCCAAAAGGTGTATTACTCCCCTCCATCTGGTGAGTGCGGTTGTTATTGGTTTTTTCACTGGTGAATAGTGGAAGCAATTTCCTAGTTTGGACTATTTGTTTTTTCACATAATAAATATATATATATAATCACTTGGGAATAAGGACTTTTATTATGATTTTTTAGAAAATATTTTTATTTGGACATTTTGTTATTGATCTTATTACTTTTAAGTTTGTATTATTTGAAATAAGGTGTTTATTTGCGCTGTTTCTTTGTATTTTCACAAAACAATTTTTCTCCCTGTATTGTTTTCCATGAACTTACTTTGTTTTCTCAAACGTTTGTGTTCTTTATCTATACAGGAATATCTCCACAATTGCGGTGTTTTACGCCCTACCTGTCATACAGCTTGTTATAACGTACCAAACGGTGAGAGCATAAAAAATGCTCTTTGTAGTTATTTTTTGCCAAAATCAAAATGTTCATTCATTAAGGTCTGTTTGCCTTCTTTTTAGGTGGTGAATGTAACCGGGAATCAAGACATTTGCTATTATAATTTCATGTGTGCTCATCCCCTTGGATCTCTTAGGTATGCGTTGCTGGAAGCTGTATCTAACCTTGCATCTGCCCATTCCTAAAATGATTCCGCTGTCACCTGCTTGATGTTGATTAGGCTGTCTGACCTATTTCTGGTTCTGTTTCAGCAGCTCAGTTTGTCCATATTTGGGAATTGATAAATTTAATATAGGTTCAGAGGTCTAGGCCTCATGCAATCTTGAGCCCAAAAATGGCCGTTTTACAGGTGTTTGACTTTTTTTTTTTTTTTCATTTTGGTGTGTTTTTGTTTTTTCTGCCCTTTCATGTTAAACTCTGTGTTAATGCACACATACTGTAGGTATTTACAGGAGTTTAGAGGCATGGCTTTGAGAGGCAGAAAAAAAACCCATCACTTGCATTATCTGAAGAGGAGCGTATGGGCAGAATAAACACACAAATGCATGTTAATGCTAGGCGTGTTTATGCGTGTTAATAAATTCTAATGGCTTGAACAAATGAATGTTCTGGCTGATAGAATGCATGAACACTGAATGCGCAAAAACGTGCATGCAAAAACAAGGCTTTTGTTCACATTTTCCTGCTGCTTTTTTCCTGTAAGGAAAATAATGTGCATGTGGCCTTACAACCAGTGTCAGATTTTGGACTAAGAACTGTGTTTAGGGGCTTTAAAAAAAAAAAATTGTACAATGCTGTGTATTTGTGAAGATTTATTCAGTGTATAGTTTTTAGTAGTCCTGCCATTTAGTACCAAAACAGTTGATGAGTAGTGATGAGCTGGGGTATTCCCTGCCCAATAATCGCACACATACAAAGGATATACGTGCGGCTGCAGGACGGGGAGTTCCCCGGCCACAGATGATTGGGCCTTACAGGTGACATCTCCTGGCAGGCTTGCACACACAGGTCAGATCCCAGTCCAGACATGCCCAAGCTCATCACTAATCATGGATAACAATGTGCATTACTTAAAGGGACTGTATCATGCTTTTATCTACAGATTTTATTATTTCAAAGCCTTAACATTTTTAGTCGTATATAAAATATCGTATAATAATATTTAGAATGTATGATTTTGAGCCAGAAGATGGTGCAGTGAAGTTGGTTCTCCTCCTCATTCGCTTATTAATTCTGCTGCTGTGCTGTGCACAAGTTTATTTGCTATTCCAAGCACACATACAGCTGAATGTATCAGAGGAGGGGCCCTTTCCAGCTCCTAGGGCTGTGAATGAGCATGCAGCTTAGACAAAGGCCGTCATTTACATAACGACAGCTGGCCATTCCTATTCACAAGGCTGCTATCCTTAGCAAACACTTTTTATCATTAAAGCACCGTGAATTAAATGTATATCTGTAAAAAAAGTGTTTATTTTTAAAGGATAAGTTCACCTTTTATGAAAAAATTATAAATGCACATTTTTTTTTTGTAGCAGATCTATGGTGCAATGCCCAGGCTTCTTCATACTCTCAGTACACTGTCTGCTCGAACATCCTGTATGGACAGACAGTTACTGAATGACAGGAAGAATTAATGAACTACAAGAGCACTCACCAGTTCCCTCTCAGTTTATTGAGGAATACAAGCCCTCGGCTACAGTGGCTGACGGTACATTCACAGAACCCTGTGAATGAATGATGCAGCCATGTGGGTGGAGCTGCCAAGCAGGACTCTTGTGCTGTGTGTGGAAGCAGTGGTCTCTCTGCAGAGGTCCAGCACACGCCCCCTGCTGAGTCATATCTATAGCTCTGTAATCTGTAAAGCTCATGCCCCCTGCTGATTGGAGAGCTCTGGCTCATGTTCATCAGGGGGTGTGTCTTTCTTGGTCCTGTAACCATGTTTATAGTGCTAGATTGGTAGGACCATGCTGTGCAATAGATCCTGAGATGGCTCAAACTTCTCCCAGTCTGAGCGCTGCTGTACTGAAGTTCACAAGAAGCCAATATAAAGACCTGTCTGGATACTTACAGCAGCTGTACTTGAAATTACATTTTGCCTTTACATACACACTGTACATCAATATAAAGACCTGTCTGGATACTTACAGTAGCTGTACTTGAAATTACATTTTGCCTTTACATACACACTGTACATCATTTTACTAAGTGGTGTTTTCTAATATTTAACCAGAATTCAGCCTTAGGGCGGCTTCACGCTTGCTAAAGTGCAGCTAACCTGCAGTTTTTGGGGCAGTGTGAAGCCGCTCTTATTCTCATAATTATAAACCAAATAATTGTTAAAAGATGGACAATTTCATGCAGATGCTGAATGTAGAAATAACTGTACCGCTTTCCCATTGATGACGTATTCTCACTGCTTCAACATCAGTGAAGGTTTAGTTCACAGTTGTTCATGCCTGAATGTTGCTTCTTATGCTGATTGTTATTCTTTTTGTTACTTTTAGTGCATTTAACAACATTTTAAGCAACCTAGGGTACATCATGTTGGGGTTGCTTTTCCTAATCATTGTGCTGCAGAGAGAGCTAAGTTATAACCGTAACCGCATGTACACCAGGGGACAGCTGGAGGTAAGTCGTATAAACATCACAAAAACAAAGATAAAGGTTTGACATTTCAATGTTTTGATGTATTTAAAGTGTAACTTTAGACAGAAAATACTTTTTATATTACTGGCTGTACTCAGCCCAATTTCTTCTCGCTTCTTGTCCCAATGAAAGTGAGAGGATACATTCTGAAAGCCAGAGGAAATTCCTCCTTCGACAGTTGTTACCGGTGCAGTTGTTCACTTTTAAGTGCTTTTCTGCTTTTTTTGTCTCCGGTAACTTGTCATGGCCATGTTTACCCTGAGGTACACTGGCATAAATTGGGGTACATTCAGAGGTTCACATACTTCTGGATAGGAATCATTATTTTCAAGTAGTTTATTATCAGTATGTCAACAGTGTTGTGTGTTGTTTCATAGCAAATGAGCCATTATTATATATCAGATTAAGAGAGATTACATTTGGAACCAGTCATGCAGGAACCTTGAATATGGCTAATTGTATTCAGACTTTTTTTTTCCTCAAAGTTTGTACATAAAGGATCTGATACAGTCTTTTCACCTGAACTTTTTTTTTTTTTTTTATTTCTGTAGTGAGTTCTCATTGTCTTTTCTTTTTTTTTTTCCGCACACAGGAATGTGGGATTCCCAAACACTTTGGTCTTTTCTATGCCATGGGCACTGCTCTGATGATGGAGGGACTACTCAGTGCATGCTATCATGTGTGCCCCAACTATACCAACTTCCAGTTTGGTTTGTCTTCGCCCATTCATCTCCTATATACAGATATTTCCTGTCTTCTCACCAAGCCCTTTAATGCCATTGTGTTGCCTAATTCATCTTCTAATTTATCTTCCTTTTTAGATACTTCCTTCATGTATATGATTGCTGGTCTCTGCATGCTGAAGTTGTATCAGAAAAGGCATCCTGATATTAATGCCAGTGCATACAGTGCATATGCCTGCCTAGCCATTGTTATCTTCTTCTCCGTCCTCGGTGTGGTATGTACATAGTCTCGTTGTCAAAAATTCACTTCTCAGTTTAGCTGACATTTTGTGATTATATATATATATATATATATATATATATATATATATATATATATATATATATATATATATATATATATATATATATATATATATATAAAATGTGTATACATACATACATACATACATACATACATATTACGTATTATTATAGATGCTGTATATAAATATGTAGAGGTACAAACTGCCCAACAATGCTTAAAAACATTAAAAGATAAAATTTTTTTCAAACTAAACCAATCGCAACCTTCTGTTTATTTGTTTTCAATTGACTCTGTTGTCATTTTTTTTACTTACCTTTGCCAGGGCTTGTTTGCTATCACAGGAGCAGATTATTCTGCTGCTATGTAAATGGATACTAGCAGAACAGCACACAAGTTATACAATGTAGTAATGCTTTTTTGCTACACTGTGAATACTCAAATGGCAAACGGTGGTACCCTTTGGATATGTCAGTTAAAGGAACCTTGCAAGATTAAAAAAGCTAAGTTATTTAAGAGGGAGCCTTGTTTGTAATAAATATATATATAATGAAACACACACATACGCGCACACACACACTCCACTTTTGCACATCATTTAGTGTGTAACATGGTGCAAATGGGACTTTCCTAACTTGCTATTTGTCATATTTACCATTACCCCTGGGACAAAAAACTGGGGACATGTATACAAGACACACCTGTCAGAGCTAAGGATTTGGCTGTGGGGGCCTTCCACCCACTTTAGTTGATATTCTACTTAAAGCTAAACTCAAGAAAAAATAAAAAAATTACCCTTCTAATGAGTTCCCCCCACACTTCAAGCATTAAATGATCATTTTGTCTGGGGAGAACAAAACAAACAACTACACCTATTATATTCTTCCCAGCTTCACCCTAAAGCCACTTTTTTTTATTTTTTTATTTGCCACTCTGTTGGCCGCAAACACTCCAAAACCATCACTTACAATGCAGGACCAGTATTCTTGCATCTGAAGTGAGAATGCTGAGGGCCTGTTCACTAACCATAGCGTTGGAGAGAGGAGAAGAGCTTTGGCTGTTGATGGAGCAAGAAAAGGGTAGGTATAATTGCTTTCTCTGTTCTCCCTAGACATAGACTTAATGAACATTTAGCCCCTTCAGTGTTGGGAGCCACAATGCAAGGGTAATTTTTTATTTTTCCCAGAGTTCAGTTGATTTCACACAACTGCAAATAAAATATTGCTGTTTGAGTATCATGTTTATTACACAGTCTTAGTATTATAATTAACAGTGTAATGGTAGACCTCTGTAAAATATGAAGAGGGCCTGGAGAGCCTCCACAAATGTTGGCAGTCTGATTTTACACCTATGGAAATCTAGGCAATTCATCTAAAGCTTGCCATAGATGGGTAGAAATGTGAACAAAAATTCTTAGGAAAAGTCTTAGGAAAAGGTGTATGAAAATTCTCAGAACATTTAAATGTCATTTGAAAGATTTTGCTTGCTTTTAACATTTTTATTTTGAAATTAATGGGCTTTTTTTTCTTTTTCTTTTTTTTTTATCAAATCATTTTTAATGAGTAAAAAGATGAGAGAAGTTTTTTACATTTCAATTACAAAAAGAAACATACAAAAATCCATGTGTGCTACATACAAGTTGCAAGATTAACCCCTAACCCAACCACCCCAAGGCCACCAAACAGTAGAGACCTGGAGCCCAACATACCTATTAGCAATAGTAAAGTGTAAACAAACGGTGTGCCATGTAAGCTCTCTCAACACTGTATATGTGCAATCAAATCAAGACAATATAATAAACAGTCCTATAATATACCCCTATAAGCAATAAAGATACTTACAGGTGAAACTCGAAAAATTAGAATATCGTGCAAAAGTTCACTTATTTCAGTAATGCAACTTAAAAGGTGAAAAAACTAATATATGAGATAGACTCATTACATGCAAAGCAAGACAGTTCAAGCCGTGATTTGTCATAATTGTGATGATTATGGCTTACAGCTCATGAAAACCCCAAATCCACAATCTCAGAAAATTAGAATATTACATGCAATCAATAAAACAAGGATTGTACATAGAACAATATCGGACCTCTGAAAAGTATAAGCATGCATATGTACTCAGTACTTGGTTTGGGCCCCTTTTGCAGCAATTACTGCCTCAATGCGGCGTGGCATGGAAGCTATCGGCCTGTGGCACTGCTGAGGTGTTATGGAAGACCAGGATGCTTCAATAGCGGCCTTCAGCTCTTCTGCATTGTTCAGTCTCATGTCTCTCATCTTTCTCTTGGCAATGCCCCATAGATTATCTATGGGGTTCAGGTCAGGCGAGTTTGCTGGCCAATCAAGCACAGTAATCCCACGGTCATTCAACCAGGTTTTGGTGCTTTTGGCAGTGCGGGCAGGTGCCAAGTCCTGCTGGAAAATGAAGTCAGCATCCCCATAAAGCTCATCTGTGGAAGGAAGCATGAAGTGCTCCAAAATCTCCTGGTAGATGGCTGCGTTGACCCTGGACTTAATGAAGCACAGTGGACCAACACCAGTAGATGACATGGCTCCCCAAATCAACACAGACTGTGGAAACTTCACACTGGACTTCAAGCATCTTGCAGTGTGTGCCTCTCCATTCTTCCTCCATACTCTGGGTCCTTGGTTTCCAAATGAGATGCAAAAGTTGCTCTCATCAGAAAAGAGAACTTTGGACCACTGAGCAACAGACTAGGTGTGTTTTTCTTTATCCCAGGTAAGACGCTTCTGACGTTGTTTGTTGTTCAGGAGCAGCTTGACAAGAGGAATACAACATTTGAAGCCCATGTCCAGGATCCGTCTGTGTGTGGTGGCTCTTGATGCACTGACTCCAGCCTCAGTCCACTCCTTGTGAAAGTCCCCAACACTTTTGAATGGCCTTTTCCTGACAATCCTCTCCAGGCTGCGGTCATCTCTGCTGCTTGTGCAGCTTTTTCTTCCACACTTTTCCCTTCCACATAACTTTCTATTAATGTTCTTTGATACAGCACTTTGGGAACATCCAACTTCTTTTGCAATTACCTTTTGAGGCTTTCCCTCCTTATGGAGGGTGTCCATGATGGTTTTCTGCACAACTGTCAGGTCAGCAGTCTTTCCCATGATTGTGATTCCTACTGAACCAGACTGAGACACCATTTAAAGGCTCAGGAACCCTCTGCAGGTGTTAAGGCTTAATTAGCTGATTAGAGTGGGACACTTTGAGCCTAGAATATTGCACCTTTTCATAATATTCTAATTTTCCGAGATTGTGGATTTGGGGTTTTCATGAGCTGTAATCCATAATCATCACAATTATGACAAGTCACGGCTTGAACTATCTTGCTTTGCATGTAATGAGTCTATCTCATATATTAGTTTCACCTTTTAAGTTGCATTACTGAAATAAATGAACTTTTGCACGATATTCACATTTTTTGAGTTTCACCTGTATATGCAACCCTCTTGACTGAGGTCATTTGTTTAGGTAGCACTTCAGCACATCTACCTATGCTGTCCAGGTGGCAGCATACCGTCTATAATAAAAATTTGAGGTCAACACAGCAGGCCCAATAACAAAAGAGAGTGACCTTCATCTCCAGCTAATGGTACAACAGTAAATCAATGTAAGAACTGCCTAGACTACCCTAGCAACCTGTCCATTATTAGTGTTGGAGCCCCCAATCCTGGGGTACCCAACCAAGGTTCCCAAACCTTATCAAATTTGTTTGGACATCCTCATTTGGTATAGATATATTTTTCTTTCAGTATGATATAATTTACTACTTGTATCCAATCAGAATGGGAAGGTGGGAGTGCCAATAATTATCTGTGAGCTATAAGTTTTCTAGCTTGGGAAAGGCAACAAAGTACTGCATAGTGGGTGGGACAAGCTCTTCATCCATTTTAACCTAATAAGCAAAACAGTGAGTCCAAGGTATAGGATAACCTAAAAACAAAATTCAAAGTATGGAGAATCGCATTACAGTACCTATGTAATTTAGGACACCGCCACATCACATAGATGAAGGAGCCTGGAGAGCGGAATGAATGGACTATACTGAATGAAAACCACATACACTGTTCAAATTTGCTTGTTTAAGAAAAATGTTTCCATCCTGCTCCTTTTAATTTTCTCATCACTGTGGTCAAATATGAACATTGATTTGACCTGTCTAATGATTAGAAAAATGAACAAACTTTCTTAGAACATTCTCTTACCAAGATTTTTCTTTTGAAATTCTACCCAGCTATGGCCAGCGTAACTTAGCAGCACATTTTTGTACTCCATCTGCTTATTTTGTAAACCTCAGCATGTTTTCAGTTAAATGTATATATGTGCAAGTGATCTCTTGTAAGTCCTGAGTTTCTGTTGTCTCTTTTGTTGTTCTAGGTATTTGGGAAAGGAAATACCATTTTCTGGATTGTATTCTCTGTGATCCATATAGTGTTTACTCTGGTTCTGAGCACTCAGCTGTATTATGTGGGTCGCTGGAGGCTAGGTAATATACTGTTTAACATATGAGTGCAAGAAGATTTCGATCAATCTGTGACTTACCTTCTAATCAATGCCATGTTCACTCTCTTGTAACCCTTCAGATTCTGGAATTATTCGCAGGATCCTTCAGGTTCTATACACAGATTGTGTTCGCCAGTGTAGCCCCCCAATGTATGTGGTAAGTGCTTCTATATTTTCAGGATAGGGTATGTGTTTCCATTGTCCAGTTTTATTTCTATGCTTGTCGTGGCCTTTGAGTCAACAAATAAGAGTCATTAGGGCCCTCTGTTTCCTCTTGTACCAAGTTGTTTTGTAACTGTAATGTCTACCTTCATTTTGTAAAGTGCTGCACAAACTGTTGGCGCTATATAAATGCGCTATTATTATAATTATTGGCAGAAGACTGCCCCGATTTTTCTTTAGAAGAAACAGACTCCCTGGTTGATAATTTTGTTGTTGTTAGGTTCCTACCAGTGGTAGCCTCTAGCGCTCCACAGGACGGAATCCCCCAAGGCGCGGAATCTAAGCCCCAACCTGCTTGTTCACCAGGGCCCCTGATGGTGGGGATGGACTTGGAGCAGGCCGAGACCAGGTCACGGCCCCTGGGTTCACCCAGTTGCGGTAGAAGCACCGCTGGAGGTGTGTAGCAGGTGAGAGCCTGATGTGAGGAGGTAAGAGCAGCGTCGGGCTGGCCGGATCGGTAACGGTGGTGGCGGCGTGGTACAAAATCAGCAGGCAGAGGGATAAACAGGTTACAAGCCGGGTTCGTTAACAGGAGATCAGAACGTGCAGGGTTAAGCAGGAGAATGGTCAGACAAGCCAGGGATCAGAACAGGAGACAGACAGCAAATCAGGGTTAGGCAGGGTCGGCAGCAAGACATTCTACAATGCAGGAAATCAGGATACAGGTAAGACCATACGGCAACTAAACACAGCCCTGACCTGTTTTAAATAGGGCTCCCTGCGCCCTGATTGGTGCCAGGCTCGCGATCGCGAGTGCGCCACTGCAATCGCGGGTGCCCTGGTCCCAATGCTCGTACGCTAGTGCGGCCGGGCACACCGCGCATGCGCAGACTCGTACACGATCGTGGCCAGCTCTGGGGTCCCTGACAGTTGTTTTATAGTATCACATTTTAATAGTCATGTTCTAATGGTTTTGGGTGCATTTCTGTATCAGGAACATATATTTTACACACAATTCAATTTTTTTTGAGTTTTGTGCTTGCATAGTTAGACCCTGTGACCAGACCCCAATTTTTAAATGAAAACCTTTCAGCAGTGGAAGATAATGAGCCCTTGCACCTCACAGCAAACATCTAAACATTTTCACCGAAAAGAAGAAAAACTTGCTACGCTCAAAAGACTGGATCTGGCATACGTGGAAGAATGTTCATACAGCTTTGCATTCAATTCGATTGTGCAGTGCCATGCAGCCCCCTGAGGGCTGGGGTAGCCCAAACTAGCACTATAAATCAAGAAAAAGAAAGGGGCGCACCAGCCTTGCGCATTACCCCAAAACAAACTTTTTCTAAAATGTAGCAGATGTATTCTCAAAAATACACAGGCATATCTTAAAGCGGAGTTCCACTCATGCTGTCACAAAATAAAAGTAAGCAGCTACAAAAACTGTAGCTGCTGACTTTAAAAAAAAAAAAAAACACTCACCTGTCCCGCGGTGTCTCCCCTGCAGCCCATTTTACAGGCCGTCTTCTCTCCCTGGGTACCGACATCTTCAGTGTGGGCACCTGGCTGTGACAGCTTGCAGCTTCACAGCCAGGTACCCACTGCGCATGCATGAGTAGTGCTGTGCTTCCTGAATGGTCCTGTACTCTTCTGGGACCTTTCACTTGTCCCAAAAGACTATGGCGAGGGAGGAAGGGAGGACACATTCCACTACCGGTCAAATTCGGGTACCTGCTCCTGCCCCCCAAAGGTGCCAATCCTTAATGGGGATCGGGGGACCAGTCTTTAAAGCGGAACTTCCCCTTTTGGGTGGAGCTCCACTTTAACCGACATTAGTCCATGGTCTGGAGTACTGTGAGAGTCCCACATGCAAGAGGATGCTCACAAATGGCTGACATGTTTCGAGGGGGGATCCCCTCTTCCTCAGAGGCTCTCTCTTCTCCAGACCATGGACTAATGTCGGTTAAGATATGCCTGTGTCTGTTTGGCGTTTGTGAGTATACATCGGCTACATTTTATAAATAAAGTTGTTTTTTTTTTTTTTAGGTAATGCGCAAGGCTGGTGCGCCCTTTCTTTATCCTGTATTATAAACATCTAAACATGACAAGGGGCTTAGTATTGTCTTTGTTAGCCAGACAGCCCTGTTCTATGTGCCTCTCTGGAACTAGTTTCACTTTGTTACAAGAAGCTCAACTTCTATAACTTCAGGAAAGAAGACTTGCCCACCATCATTCCTCTGTCTGATACAATTACTAAGCCACATTCAAAAGTGGGATAGCAGTGAACTGGGCTTCATCAATACAGGGCAGAATATACACTTATACATCAATGCAAGTGCATTCTCTTTCTTTACATCATATTGCTTGGCTTATATTAACAGATGAACAGTGATTCTAAACTTAAAATGTTTTTCTTACCTTAATGAATTATCTGCATTAAGGTAAAAAAAACTCCTTACTACCTACCCCCCCATTGCTAAATACCTACCTTACTGAGTCACTGATCCAGCGCTGTCCTGGCTGCAACACTGCACTCCTCTTCTGGTCTCACAAGAGACACTGAGAGCAGTGGGAGCCATAGGCTCCTGCTGCTGTCAGTTAAATGCCTGTGATGAGTTCTATGGTGGAGCTTACCGGCATTATAAGCGTCTATTGAGGCACACAGCCTGGCTTGGAAGCACGCTGTCAGGGCTCCAGGGTATGACCAGAGGTGTGTGACTGACGCAGGGAAACGCAGGCTTCAGATATGTTATAAACAATGTAATTTATTAACACTAACAATACAAACATAAACGCAGTGCAATACTAAAACATAACACAGTGCAAACAAACCAAACCAACCACCCACAGATGACAGTACATACAATGCAAGCGTCGTCAGGCAGGCCGGGTCAATATCAATCGGGCAGGTAGGTACAGGGGGAGCAAGCGGAGAATGGTCGGGGTCACAAGCCAGGTTCAGCAGGTAGCGGGCAGAGTGGTACAGAGGGTCAGGCAGAGGGATGGTCAGGAACAAGCCGGGGTCAGAGCAGGAGAAGTCAGCAGAGGTCAGATCAGGCAGGGTCAGCGACAAGACAGGAACAGGATGCAGGAACAGGATACAGGGCCCGGGAAAAACACACACCAAGGCAGAGTCTGCAGGTCTGGCCATCCCTTAAATACACCAGTATAATCAGTTCCAGGTGTTTGACTGGCTGCAAGGTTGAGTCTCTGATTGCTGGGAGCACCCGCTGGCCAGCCCTGGTACTGCAGCTCATAAGGCAGGTGAGTCCTACTATTGCTGGCCAGTCCATTCCTGACAGTACCCCCCCCCCCCTCAAGGAGCGGCCTCAGGACGCTCCAAACAGTCCTAGCTGGGCAAAATGTTCCACCGCCCGGGTCTGGTAACTGGCGGGATATCAAAGACTGGCACACCGGGCAGGACTCCGGGCAGCGGCACACCGGGCAGGACTCCGGGCAGCGGCACACCGGGCAGCGGCACACCGGGCAGGACTCCGGGCAGAGGCACACCGGGCAGCGGCACACGGGCAGGACTCCGGGCAGAGGCACATCGGGCTGGACTCCGGGCAGAGGCACATCGGGCTGGACTCCGGGCAGAGGCACATCGGGCTGGACTCTGGGCAGAGGCACATCGGGCTGGACTCTGGGCAGAGGCACATCGGGCTGGACTCTGGGCAGAGGCACATCGGGCTGGACTCTGGGCAGAGGCACATCGGGCTGGACTCTGGGCAGAGGCACATCGGGCTGGACTCTGGGCAGAGGCACATCGGGCTGGACTCTGGGCAGAGGCACATCGGGCTGGACTCTGGGCAGAGGCACATCGGGCTGGACTCTGGGCAGAGGCACATCGGGCTGGACTCTGGGCAGAGGCACATCGGGCTGGACTCTGGGCAGAGGCACATCGGGCTGGACTCTGGGCAGAGGCACATCGGGCTGGACTCTGGGCAGAGGCACATCGGGCTGGACTCTGGGCAGAGGCACATCGGGCTGGACTCTGGGCAGAGGCACATCGGGCTGGACTCTGGGCAGAGGCACATCGGGCTGGACTCTGGGCAGAGGCACATCGGGCTGGACTCTGGGCAGAGGCACATCGGGCTGGACTCTGGGCAGAGGCACATCGGGCTGGACTCTGGGCAGAGGCACATCGGGCTGGACTCTGGGCAGAGGCACATCGGGCTGGACTCTGGGCAGAGGCACATCGGGCTGGACTCTGGGCAGAGGCACATCGGGCTGGACTCTGGGCAGAGGCACATCGGGCTGGACTCTGGGCAGAGGCACATCGGGCTGGACTCTGGGCAGAGGCACATCGGGCTGGACTCTGGGCAGAGGCACATCGGGCTGGACTCTGGGCAGAGGCACATCGGGCTGGACTCTGGGCAGAGGCACATCGGGCTGGACTCCGGGCAGAGGCACATCGGATTACCAGGCAAAGCAGCAGGCAGCGGGCCACCGGGCGGAGCGACGGGCGCCGGGCCCCCAGGCGGAGCGGCGGGCGCCGGGCCCCCAGGCGGAGCGGCGGGCGCCGGACCCCCAGGCGGAGCGGCGGGCGCCGGACCCCCAGGCGGAGCGACAGGTCTCGGGCCCCCAGGCGGAGCGGCGGGCACCGAGTCACCAGGCACGACAGTGGGCTCTGAGTCAATTGGCACGACAGCGGGCACCGGGTCATCAGGTACCGGATTGTCTGGCTCGACAGAGGGCATCGGGTCACCAGGTATGACAGCGGGCACTGGGTCACCAGGCATCAGGTCATTTGGCTCGCCAGCGGGCACCGCGTCATCTGGCAAGGCAGTGGACACCGAGTCACCAGGTACGACAGCGGGCTCTGAGTCAATTGGCACGACAGCGGGCACCGGATCAGGTACCGGATCATCTGGATCAACAGCGGGCATCGAGTCAACTGGCCTAATAGGATCGTCAGGCTGGATCAGTTCATCATGCTGGGTAGAGGCATCAGGCTGAATGCAGGCATCAGGCTGCGTAGAGGCATCAGGCTGCGTAGAGGCATCAGGCTGCGTAGAGGCATCAGGCTGAACCACGGAAGGCAGGTTCTCAGACGGCAGGCTCACCGGTTTGGATACTGGCAGGATGGTATTGGTTGGAAAGAATTTTCGCTTTTTTCTGGTTTTAACTACTGGAGCACTGCAAGTAAACGCAGGTCTGCAAACGAATGGAGCAGCTGGAGACAGAGAAGAGCTGGAGGATGGAACAGGGGAGGGAGCAGTTGCTACAGAGGGCTTCTTTACAGGGTTAAAGGCAGGATAGGTGCAGTGGTGGGAACAGGGTACTGACATGCGGTAGATAGCAGGGCAGGAGGAGCTGTTGGGAATGCAGGAATAGAACTTTGAGGAAATAGATTAGAAGGGTTTTTGTAAGCTGACTGAGGCTGGGTGCAACAAATCTGTCCATGCCTGCAGTATGGGTTGAACAAAGCTGAGCTTACACAAAGCCTGTCTGACCAAAGACTGCACTGCGTTTATACAATCTCTTAGTACCTGTGGTGAACATGCAGCATAATGCTCCAAGAAGCAATCCACATCATCCTCTAATAACCATACCAGGGACTCTACCTGGTCGGCACTTAATGGCGGCAAAAATTCATCCCTGCATTCGGGGGTACCAGATGAAACCAACTCCGCACAAATCTGAATCAATGGCTGCACCTCAGAGAATTCTGTGCCCTGATCTACTAGAACATGAGCGAGCCGTATACATTCTAGCAGTTCATCCCGGGGATACTCCTTCAGAGTTTGATAAGCATACTCTCTGTCATCAAACACTAGCAGATATAAATACACAACCTCATCAAGATCCATCCTTCCCAGCAACAAGCCAAGATGTTTAAAGTATCTTGCGAGCCAAAAAACAAAAGGTCACCCTAATATACAACATAAAATGTATATCCTCTATATGGTGGGATCGCAAACATCTGACACATAACTACCAATGTGTAAAAAATAGTGAATATAACCCTATAATGTTGCGCTCCCAAAACATATATATAATCACTAATCTATGTCCTGAGAACATATGCAAAAAAGTGAAAAAATTATATAATGAATACCTTAACCAAATAACATATAAAATTAACTTAATTAATTTCTTTTTTTTTTTTTTTTTTTTTAAATGTCCGTGATTATACTCAAATTCTGTGATTAAAGAGTACCTAAATTAATATTACTTCAAAAAAAGAAATATATACAAATGATATAAATAAGTATAAATAAATAAATTAATTGATATAACTGTGAAAACAGTGTCCCATATAAACAAAAAGTGACTTTGTGCTTTAATTAATCTTCAATCCATGATTGCATGTAAATCCGTGACTGATTGTGAATCCTCCCATTAGTGCAGATGTACGCTCACCTCCTTATCTGCCTATAATTAGGCTATATGCGCTTTCGGTTCTCCTCCTATGGAACCTGCTTAAGACTCTTTCTTTTGGAATACTGGATATCCGTTGTTGCTGATATATGCTCTGGGATTGATCCCTGCTCCAGAGGATTGAACTCCTCTATAATCTCATCTCCATACGACTCTCCACATAGGAAAAAGATCTATACATGGTGTTTTATCCTTTTTAAAGATTGGCTTTATTGACTCCAAGTATTACACTCACATGTGTTGTATTCAAATACAAGCGTATCACAATGTAGACCGAGTCCTCTACTGACTGTAAGAGGCATGCACCCGTGGTCCGGCAAGCGAACGGACTCCCTCCGAGTGACGTTGCAGTACCACCCCTACGCGTTACGCCACTGGTCACGTGGCTTCATCAGGGGGATTTGATCCCCCTGTGGCGTAATGCGTAGGGGTGGGACTGCAACGTCACTCGGAGGGAGTCAGTTCGCTTGCCGGACCACGGGTGCATGCCTCTTACAGTCAGTGAAGGATTCGGTCTACATTGTGATACGCTTTTATTTGAATACAACACATGTGAGTGTATTACTTGGAGTCAATAAAGCCAATCTTTAAAAAGGATAAAACACCATGTATAGATCTTTTTCCTATGTGGAGAGTCGTATGGAGATGAGATTATAGAGGAGTTCAATCCTCTGGAGCAGGGATCAATCCCAGAGCATATATCAGCAACAACGGATATCCAGTATTCCAAAAGAAAGAGTCTTAATCAAGCAGGTTCCATAGGAGGAGAACCGAAAGCGCATATAGCCTAATTATAGGCAGATAAGGAGGTGAGCATACATCTGCACTAATGGGAGGATTCACAATCAGTCACGGATTTACATGCAATCATGGATTGAAGATTAATTAAAGCACAAAGTCACTTTTGTTTATATGGGACACTGTTTTCACAGTTATATCAATTAATTTATTTATTTATACTTATTTATATCATTTGTATATATTTCTTTTTTTGAAGTAATATTAATTTAGGTACTCTTTAATCACAGAATTTATTTGAGTATAATCACGGACATTTAAAAAAAAAAAAAAAAAAAAATGAATTAAGTTAATTTTATATGTTATTTGGTTAAGGTATTCATTATATAATTTTTTCACTTTTTTTACATATGTTCTCAGGACATAGATTAGTGATTATATATATGTTTTGGGAGCGCAACATTATAGGGTTATATTCAACAAGCCAAGATGGCTTCCCTGTGCAGCCACGTCTGGTCAGGATTGGCCTTGGTGTAATGTCAGGGCTCCTGGGTATGACCAGAGGTGTGTGACTGACGCAGGGAAACGCAGACTTCAGATATGTTATAAACAATGTAATAACACTAACAATACAAACATAAACGCAGTGCAATACTAAAACATAACACAGTGCAAACAAACCAAACCAACCACCCACAGATGACAGTAAATACAATGCAAGCGTCGTCAGGCAGGCCGGGTCAATATCAATCGGGCAGGTAGGTACAGGGGGAGCAAGCGGAGAATGGTCGGGGTCACAAGCCAGGTTCAGCAGGTAGCGGGCAGAGTGGTACAGAGGGTCAGGCAGAGGGATGGTCAGGAACGAGCCGGGGTCAGAGCAGGAGAAGTCAGCAGAGGTCAGATCAGGCAGGGTCAGCGACAAGACAGGAACAGGATGCAGGAACAGGATACAGGGCCCAGGAAAAACACACACCAAGGCAGAGTCTGCAGGTCTGGCCATCCCTTAAATACACCAGTATAATCAGTTCCAGGTGTTTGACTGGCTGCAAGGTTGAGTCTCTGATTGCTGGGAGCACCCGCTGGCCAGCCCTGGTACTGCAGCTCATAAGGCAGGTGAGTCCCACTATTGCTGGGCAGTCCATTCCTGACACACGCCCTCACAGGTGCCTCCTTAGCATCCAGCTTGCTGAGGGGCCACCCAGAGAAAGAAGATGTGGACAACACTGGTGGGGGGACTGAAATTTAGTAGGTAAGGGCCTGCTCAGTGCAATATCTTTGCACAGAACAGGTAAGTATAACATCTCTTTATTTTAAATTAAAAAAATTATGAACCTTTACAATCACTTTAAGGTGAGAGCTTCCCTAATGAATTAATTGATAAAATGATCACAAGTGACCATAGCAGCTATGAGATGCATTCTACACAGCTTCATTGCAGACAAAAATATTTACTTTCTCCTATACATGCTTCCCATCCCCAGAGTAATTAAGATCAACTTTTCCCACTTCTTTCAGGACCGCATGGTGCTACTTGTCATGGGAAACATCATAAACTGGTCTTTGTAAGTAAACACAATAGTAAATATTTTGCTTGAGTCATAAGAGTTTATAATAATTACAATCATTTGATCAGCCTTCAATTCCATCAGATTCAATCATTTGGTAAACGTAGTTTGCATACAATTATTTTTTCGCATTCTTAAATGTAAAATGATATAAATATAATTTTACACCAATATAGGGAATATTCTGTCCTTGCATGCACAAAGGCCCCCTCCCCAACCTAATCTTTCTTGCCAAAATAGTTACCTTTTAAATCTTAAGTTAAAGTGTTACTAAACCCACAACAGTAAAATCAGTCTGTATATGCAGTAAAGCATGCTTGTTATACTCACTGTGGAACCTAAGGGGTTATCCTCTGCATTGTGTAAAAAGTCAGTTTGATCCTTTCTTCTCTGTTCCTCCCCTTTTTCAAGCGACCACCACTTATCTCCAGACTAAACCGTAGGCATGCACATGCTCAGTTTGGTGTATATTGCTAGAAAGTTTTTTTTTTATTTTCTTGGGAGAGTGCATGTGATCAGCACAGGGCCAATCAGCACTGTCCAGACAGAGGTCAGGGGATTTGTATCCTCCTAGAGCAGAAAGAAAACTCCTACAAGCTTTAGCTAGTGCTGGGCTGGACACTGATAGAAGTCATATGACTGCTCTAACTGCTAATGAGAAAAGGTATTTCACAGTTTATTTACTAAAATAATTGCATTTCCCTGTTGTGTGTACTGTAGGAGACCAGATATAGTGAATGCAGGGTCTGGGGAGACCAAATATAGTGAATGCAGGGTCCTGGGTTTAGTAACACTTTAACATAGAAACATTTATGCATTACTGTTTGCTTAGTAGTGGGGGTAAGATAGTGCAGAGGAATACTTGCCTTCATTTTTTTTTTTTCCTCACACGGTGAGAAAGAACGTGGGCTGCCCTTTGATACCATTACATACAATACAGTACCAATAGTCACTATTGGTGCTGCTTAGTACATGATATCAGCAAGGAGGTGGCCACACAACCAGCTGAAGTGGATTGGCTGTGTGGGACCACTTATTTATACTTTCCTAAACAAAAATCTGTAATTGTTGAGTTTAATAAGTATGGACACCCTAATGGCAAGTTTTTGCTGCAGTTGTAACCGGAGTTCAGCTTTTAATCATTTTCTTATTTTACCGGCATGTTCATTGGTATTGTTGTAGCACTTTACTCTCTGCCTGTACTTCTATCTGGTAATACAAGTATTTACTTTGTCTGCAGGGCTGCATATGGCCTTATTGTACGTCCTAACGATTTTGCCTCATATCTTCTCGCCATTGGAATTTGTAACTTGTTACTATATTTTGCCTTCTACATTATCATGAAGGTAAGAGATGGAATGCTGGGAAGGTTTGTATGATGGTGTCCACTCTGTTCCTTAAACTAATACCTATACAATTTGGAAAGTTACATACTTAGGTCCATAGAGTATAAATCACAAAATATGAGAGCTGTCTGTACCGCAACTTTATATTACAGCTTTGCTTTCAATAAGAAGGCCTCTGTAGCGGACAGTCACTATCTGCTGATGACAGTATGTTAAAAAAAAAAAATAATATATATATATATATATATATTATAATTTTTTTTTTTTTTTCCTTTTTTTTTTAATTTTTTTTTTTTACATACTGTTATCAGAGAAATAGTGTTACCACAGTAACACCGTACTACTCTGGGGCGGTGATCTAGTTTTTTTTTCTTTTAATAACACCCTATGATTGCTTATAACTGTAAATTTCACTGTTATAAGCAACCATTTTTTTTCTGAATGAAATCTATTAATTCAGTGATTACTTTTGTGATTAGCTGTGATTGGCCACAGTTAATGGTGCAGATGGGCTGTGATTGGGTCTGTCTGTACGATGTGATCACTGTTGGTGATTTCTCTATTCCAGTGTTTCTCCTTTTTTCCATGGAGGAACCCTTGGCAAAAAGTTTGAGATGTCTGAGAACTCCCGAAAAAAAAATGTTCAGATCTACAGCTCATGGAACATTGGATCTGAACAGCGAACTGTAGATATAACAACAATTAACAAACAAATGCAGAGCAGTGCAGGGAAGCTGTTGTAACATGCCTTTTCTCCTTGATCTCCACTAGTCCTCCTCTTGGCTATCCCAGGTGATATTACATTTAACAGCCTGAGACAAACAGAAGAGGAGGACCTGTGGGGAACTGTGCAGTAAATGACAGTATGCTTCCCTGCACAGTTCTGCAACACATGGTTTCTCACATGGGGTTCCACTGCAGATCCATATTGTGGCAGATGTACTGTATGTCCACCCAATTTTGTTTATTAATATGCACTGACAGTGCGCATTGATACCTGATGCCTCCTCTGTAGTTGTGGTTCCTGTGAATCAAAGGGTGACATCGAGTGGAGTGCAAAGAGTGGGAACACGTGGCTTGATCAGGAGGTGATATCTTGTGTATGGTCCAAGTGAATGCAGATGAAGCCTTCCCTCTGCTCAACCTCCAGTCTGTATTGACTGCTGCCCTACACACACAGTGCTCCGTCCCTCTGCACCCCCTTCCCTGCATTCTGCTAGCACGCTACACAGAGTCATTGAGATCTCACCTAGTGTTCCAGTCACGGGCTCGCGCCTTGTGCTCCCTCTTACCGTCTTGTGATCAGCGCTGCCTTAGAAAGTGACACCTCCCGCTCTGTGCAGTGCTCCCGGCACCTCCCTCTGAGTTCACAGGAGCCGGAACCAAGGAGGAAGCATCAGGTATCAATGCGCGCTGACAGTACTGACTGTCAGTGTGCATTAAGGACACTACTGCAAACAACATTTGGCGGTATACATCCGCCACAATGTTGATTTGCGGCAGAACCCCCGGTTGAGAAACACTGCTCTATTCCTTGAACTATTAACTATACAATATGGAAAGTTACATACTGTACTTAGGATCATAGTGTATCCATCACAAAATATGCGTAGTTACCTTCTATGGAGCGGTCTGTACAGCAGCTTTATATTACAGCTTTGCTTTGTATAGGGAGGATTGTACCGCCTACTCAAGTTCCTTTATTTTTTTAGGAAACTTGAATAATTACCTGCAGACAAGTCAAGGCTCCAAATTATATTTATTGTTGCATATACGTATATTGTAAATACAGTGTCCGCCGTCACTGTATTCAACTTTCCATACAGTTATTCTCTGCTTATATAGCCTTTCTTATCAAATAGCAACATATCACATTAAAGGACTAAGGCGCACACTCCCCATAAAATGTAACACAAGCCTGCTGGCACAGTTACAATCTAGATATGTGTGTTTCATTTGCAGTAAACAATTTTAAGCATCCCTGATTAGATGAAATGGAGTATATATAGTCAGCTTGTAATACTCTATATATGTGACTCGTAAGGATCATAGTTATCCCTATACAACTCCCTCCTTTGATCATTACTGATCACAAACATTCATTCCTTATACACAGATGAGTTAGGGAAGGCACAAACTCTTCAGCATTGCATAAATGAGGATTTTCATTTATCTACATGAGTCTTGACTATATGCACTAAAATCATAAGTTTCACTCTTATGAAAATAATTTTTCCAAAGAAATACAATATAAATGTGGACGTTTCAGTGATCTTAACCATGGTCATCAGGAGGGCCACAGAGAGACTCCCTTCATGCAACTCCACCCCCCCCCCCCCCTAGCAATAGCTGACCACTCATCCTTTATTACATCTACTATTAGGGGAATAACATAGCATAATTGCTGGAAGAGGTGGACCCTGAGATGCTGTTTTCACCTCTGACTCCCCTTACCTTACCTCACATCACAGGCATGGTCCTCCACTACTTCACATCTCTTTGCTTACTTCATTCCCCAGAAGCAGATGGTACAAAAGCTTACTTACTAACTTGCCATTTGGTGGACAATGTCCCATTCTTCTCCTTTACCGGGACATATAAGTAAGCTAAGCCTCATTAGCTTGTCGGAGGAATGCCTCCCACTGGGGCAGGAATGCAATGGATGGGGATATTGGCCCTATGCAATCACACAAAGCATGCACTCAGCTTTATGATTTACTTATTTTCCACACTTTAGCATATGCAGGAATTCACACTCTTGCTAAAAAAAAACATAATTTCTACTTCATGTATCAACCTTAAGCCACTCTACTTATGCATGATGCAGTTATTTCCTGTAGACCCCCCAAAAAGATGTCACACCCTTTGTCACTTAGATGCACCTTGTTTTTCCTAAATAGCCTCAAGTCCTAGCCCCCCAAGCCATAATGATGATAGACAAATTCATTGTCCCCATATAAAACCTTCCCAACTTCTTGACTAAAACTTTCTACATTCTTGACTCTGGGTTTTCTCCAACAATGCCTGTCTATGATGTGTGAAAAGACTATTTTTGTATTAGGGAATTGTCCAATCATCCACTGCATATGCCATTGCATCCTTTCTATTAGCCCTGCCATTCTTTCCCTCCTTAGGTCATTACCCCCTAAATGAATGATGATAGCGAAGGGTTGTGGACAATTGAGGGCAGTCTTATCACAACGATTCAGATCCAACTGTCCCTTGATGGCTTAACCACCAAACCTGGGCCTCTTGTTCAGAGAAGGTTACATTTTCCATATTCAACCAGCGTGCCCTAGATTGTGCCGAAAACACATAAGATAGTCCCACAATTGCACACAGATTAACACTCCTGGCACTGCAAACTCTAAAGCGAGTAAAAAAAAAAAAAAAAAAAAAAAAAAGATCTAACAATGTAAATTCTGTACAGAACTAATGACTGATAACCTCATCTACCAGGCAGAGGCACCTTTCTGGACAACTATAGCCAGCAATAGAAAGTGGTTGTTTGCAGGATCTCCAGAGCAGTAATGAAAAATTCTATAATAATGTTTAATAAGTCTACAGGTTCCTTTTTATAAACAACAACAAAACGGCACAAAATCCAAAAACAAAAATTACATAAGTAAACAAAAACAAAATTAATAATAAGTGTCCATATAAAAATAAGTCCTTATTCCCATCAGAAGCAGTAATACATATTCAAAATGTGCTTCCACCTATAAAGATAGAATAAGCCCACTCAAATCTTTATATTTTATATGAAGTGGCAGTATTACACTATGTAGTTTCTTTCTCTATACACCATTGAGGAATACATGGAGGAATAAAGTGGAGACGATTTATATACCTAAGCAGGGTGAAAAAAGAAGATTTGATCTCTTTTGGAGGGGTTATAGGACCCCTTATATCCTATAAGGCTCATTATTCACCTTCATCTGGTGAGTGTGGTCAATATTATTTCTCACGTGGTGGATAGGTGAAAGCACATTTTGAATATTTATTACTGGTTCCGATGGGGATAAGGACTTATTTTTATATGGACACTTATTATTAATTTTGTTTTTGTTTACTTATGTAATTTTTGTTTTTGGATTTTGCGCTGTTTTGTTGTTTATTATTGGTGTTTTTCACTGTTGCACAGCTGCATAATCACTTAGTATTTTCTTTTTGGCGCTGGGATATATATTTTTGATACAGGTTCCTTTTGTAGCAGTAGGAGATTACTGCAATCTGTCCATATAATGTTTTGTTTTTTTTTTTGTTCCTTTTTTCCTAAATTTTATTAGCTACGCAGTGGGGAGCGTATACTTCCTGCCCCACTGATTTGTATCATCTGTACGTCTGTGGTTTGGGGATTCGCTCTGTTCTTCTTCTTCCAGGGGCTCAGCACTTGGCAGGTAAGCATAAAATATATAATGTACTCAAGCTGGTAAAAAATATGTTAAGGAGGTGAGAAGCACAGAGGAGACCCAGTTAGGGATTAGCAATGTAGGGAAGATTAGCAAAGTAGGTTCACACTAGCTCTAAGAGCTGAGTTTTTCTGTAGAAGAAAATAGCAGCTTTCCACAAGATCACGAAGAAAACAATGGTTTTCTCAATGTCCTGTTTGCCCATGTCTGCATTTTTTCCTCACTGTTTTGCAGCTGTTTGTGTTACCCTGCCATTCTATGAGCTGCTGTGTATAGAATTGAATAGGAAGGGGGGGATTTACTAAAACTGATGCACTCAGAATGTGGTGCAGCTGTGCATGGTAGCCAATCAGCTTCTAACTTCAGCTTGTGCAATTAAGATTTGTCAATAAAACCTGGAAGCACATTGGTTTCTATGCAGAGCTGCACCAGATTTTTCACTCTCAAGTTTTAGTTAATAACCCCTGTGATGGACCACCTTGCACCCCCTGGGTGATTCCGTCAGAAAACTGCTTCCTCAGCACTGGGACACAGGACCAACGTATTATAGCTGGACATTGCACCCAAGAACTAGATGACACTAACGTAGGTGCAAACAGGAACTACTTTAACAAAAGTACACGTTTCTATACACTTCAGAAATTGAGGAAGTCGCCACATGAACAATAAAAAACAAATATTACATATTGGGATAAAACATCTCACAATGATTAGGCAACGGACAAAAGTTGATACAAGACTAATCTCATCATGTAGGAACCTCAAGCTGGACTAGCCAACAGACAGAAACAATAGGTGACTCAATTAACTCAACAGTGGGGGAAAGACACAACAGTAAACACCTTAATAAACAGATTACAGCAGGAGACCTCAGCATCAGGTTGTTTTGAGCTGATTATATTAACATCTGCTCTTGAGTCTAGGAGGGAGGTGAAGCAGACAATGCTGGTTTTGGCACAGAGGCCCCAAATCTGTATGCGGGTCCTCCCGTTCTCAGAGTCTGTATGTTTCAGAGAGACATGGACTTGGATCCGCAGTAAAACTACTCCAAAGGTCCCCCCAGGCACACACCTCCCAAAGAATAAAGACCACTCAGATGCCAGGGCCCATGGTCAGTAGGTACGAGGCTAGCCTGCAGACCCCTCCAAAAGCCCCTGTCTCGGTTGGGTTTGTCACAACCCCTAATGTCACTTTGTGACATTCCATTAAAGTTTAGAAAAATAATGGGGGAAATGGTGCCATGCATTGTAAAACGCAAGGCACCACCCCTCAGCTGTGATCAATACCTGCTCAGAAAAACTGAACTTTTTCTTTGTGGCTAGTGTGAGTTTGCCCTTGTAATAAGGCACCCCAAACAGAGCATATTTACAGGCTTTAAACTTTAATTAACACATAATTACACTAGAAGTACCCTTTCCATCCTCTCCCCTCCCCCAGCAGTTTAATTATATAATATACTTACTTAAAACAGTGCTGTCCAGTTATCTTCACTGTGTGGTACGTCCATCACCACACTCCATGGCTGGATTCTTCCTAACCCTTCTATTCTGTATCGGCACATGCATGCACTGGTCGTCAATGGAAAGTCACTTTATTAGCCTTTCATATTCCTTACATTAAAGCAATAGAAGCTTATAGTTTCTAAATACATATTTTATCTATATCTACACAGCTGATCATGATTTTCAAAAAAAGCACAGCTCTGCAGAGATATAATATAGGCAGCTGAAGTTGTTAAAATATCACCTGCTTTCTTTAAAAGATGAACTTTGCCACTAAATGGAGCTAACGATCAGAATAAATAAGTATTTATTCCCTATGATTGTAGCCTCCATCCAATGGCCATAAGGGTGCATTCACACCTACAAATACAATTTGCTTCCGATTATATGCAAGAGCCCTAGCAGGGGTTCCCGCGATTAGCTGCAAAAGGCAGCCCCATTGAAAGCAATGGGAGACTGCCGACTCCTGCAACTAATCACACCCACTCGCATGCAATCTCTTCTGCTTCAGGAACCGGCAGCCTCCCATTCATTCAGCTTTCAGCAGGGCCATCTCTCACAGGTAATCACAGACACCTTCCCTGCACCCCACTCCCCTTGGGGTTTTCACATATAATTGCAGGCAGGGTGCATTTGCAAGTGTGAATACACCCTGAATGCGTTATTTTTTATTATTCACACTATTTTAATGAATTAGGAACATCCACCTTGGAGAAGAAAGTGTTTAACCACTTGAGCCCCAGAGGATTTACCCCCCTTAATGACCAGGCCTTTTTTTGCTGTTTGGCGCTGCACTAATTCAAATGATAATTGCGCGGTCATGCAATGCTGTACCCAAACAAAATTTACGTCCTTTTTTTTTTCACACAAATAGAGCTTTCTTTTGGTGGTATTTGATCACCTGTGCGCTTTTTATTTTTTGCGCTATAAACAAAAAAAAACCACGAAAATTTTGAAAAAAAACAATATTTTCTACTTTCAGCTATAAAAAATATATCGTAAACTCAAAGTTAGTCATAAATTTTAAGCCAAAATGTATTCTGCTCCATGTTTTTGGTAAAAAAAAATCCCAATAAGTGTATATTGATTGCTTTGTGTGAAAGTTATAGGATCTACAAACTATGGTATAGATACTGTAATTTATGCCTTTTTTTGCTATACAGCGCTGCACTAACTCAAATGATAATTGCGCGGTCATGCAATGCTGCACCCAAACGAAAATTACGTCCTTTTTTTCACACAAATAGAGCTTTCTTTTGGTGGTATTTGTTCACCTGTGCGCTTTTTATTTTTTGCGCTATAAACAAAAAAAACCACAAAAATTTTTTAAAAAAAACAATATTTTTCTACTTTCAGCTATAAAAAAATATATCGTAAAACTCAAAGTCATAAATTTAAGCCAAAATGTATTCTGCTACATGTTTTTTGGTAAAAAAAATCCCGTGCATTAGCGGGCAAACTGGCGCTATCTAGGAGGGGCGCTAACACTATCGGAAGTCACCAGTGACACTAATACAGTGATCAGTAAAAATCTGTTCACTGTAATCAATGACACTGGTGACAGGGCAGTGAAGGGTTAACTGGGGGGGGGGGGGGGGGTGATCAAGGGGTTAAATGGGATTTCTGGTGCACTAGCGGGCAAACTGGCACTATCTGGGAGGGGCGCTAACACTATCGGAAGTCGCCAGCGACACTGATACAGTGATCAGTAAAAATTGGTTCACTGATCAGTGACACTGGTGACAGGGCAGTGAAGGGGTTAACTGAAGAAGGGGGGGGGTGATCAAGGGGTTAAACGGGATTACTGGTGTACTGGCGGGCAATCTGGCGCTATCTGGGAGGGGCGCTAACACTATCGGAAGTCGCCAGCGACACTGATACAGTGATCAGTAAAAATTGGTTCACTGATCAGTGACACTGGTGACAGGGCAGTGAAGGGGTTTAACTGGGGGGGGCGATCAAGGAGTTAAACGGGTTTACTGGTGTACTGGCGGGCAAGCTGGCGCTATCTGGGAGGGGCGCTAACTCTATCGGAAGTCGCCAGCGACACTGATACAGTGATCAGTAAAAATTGGTTCACTGATCAGTGACACTGGTGACAGGGCAGTGAAGGGGTTAAACGGGATGGGTACTGGGGGGGGGGGGGCAATCAAGGGGACACTTAAACGGGATTACTGGTGTACTGGCGGGCAAACTGGCGCTATCTGGGAGGGGCGCTAACTCTATCGGAAGTCGCCAGCGACACTGATACAGTGATCAGTAAAAATTGGTTCACTGATCAGTGACACTGGGTGACAGGGCAGTGAAGGGGTTAACTGGAGGGGGGGGGGGGGGCAATCAAGGGGTTAAACGGGGCGATTACTGGTGTACTGGCGGGCAAAACTGGCGCTATCTGGGAGGGGCGCTAACTCTAATCGGAAGTCGCCAGCGACACTGATACAGTGATCAGTAAAAATTGGTTCACTGATCAGTGACACTGGGTGACAGGGCAGTGAAGGGGTTAACTGGAGGGGGGGGGGGGCGATCAAGTCCGCCAGCGACACTTAGGGGTTTTTAAACGGGATTACTGGTGTACTGGCGGGCAATCTGGCGCTATCTGGGAGGGGCGCTAACTCTATCGGAAGTCGCCAGCGACACTGATCAGTAAAAATCGCTTCACTGATCAGTAACACTGGTGACAGGGCAGTGTAGGGTTAACTGGAGGGGGGGGGCGATCAGGGGGTTAAATGTGTCCTAGAGTGTTCTAACTGTAGTGTAGTGCTTGTGTACTCACTTTTTGGATGTCTTCTTCTCTGTCTGGAACGGAATGTGTCCAGGCAGAGAAGAATGACATCATATCCTGCCCTGTGTATTTGTCAACACAGGACAGGATAGGACAGGGACCGATCATGTGATTTCAGCCAGAAATCACTGGCTGAAATCTAATGATTGATCCCTCCTGGATCAAATAGTGTCACCCGCGGGTCGGGCGGGAGCGCGCGCGCCCGCCCGCCCCCTGCCGGCGAAAGTGTCGGGAGCGCGGAACCCGTTTTAAAACGTGGTTTTGCGCTCCACTGCCGCCCTGCACACGTATATACACAGTGGCAGGGCGGCAAGCGGTTAATAACATTTAATTTTTCTGCCATTCGTACAGGACGAACAGCTCTACAGATTTTCTTATAAATTCACCTCATAGTCTATATGGCAATCGTTCAATAACAATTTCTTTATCATGCTAATTAAAATATTTTATCTCATGGAATATATACTGTGTACACTGTCAATGTACAAAATGAAGAGTAAGTGGGATTTTAACGGTTCTTGAAACTTCACCCTCAGGAAGAAACAAGACACAAAATTAACTAAAACAATATATCTTTATTACAAATCATGTTGAAAATGTATCTGGGGTATGGACCCCATAAAACATCTGAATATACCAATCAACGATATATCCACACTCGTGACCCCTCCCATTGGGTAAAGATATATATATATATATGTTACATACAGTGGATATAAAAAGTCTACACACCCCCCTGTTAAAATGTCAGGTTTCTGTAATGTAAAAAAATGAGACAAAGATAAATCATTTCTGAATTTTTTCTACCTTTTTGAAGTATCCTATAAACTGTGCAACTCAGTTGAACAACAAACTGAAATCTTTTCGGTGGAGGGAAGTAAAAATAAAAAACTAAAATACAGTTGCATAAGTGTGCACACCCTAAAACTAATACTTTGTTGAAGCACCTTTTGATTTGAGTCCAGCACTCAGTCTTTTTGGGTATGAGTCTATCAGCATGGCACGTCTTGACATGGCAATATTTGCCCACTCTTCCTTGCAAAAACACTCCAAATCTGTCAGATTGTGAGGGCATCTCCTGTGCACAGTCCTCTTCAGATCACCCCACAGATTTTCCATCAGATTCAGGTCTGGGCTCTGGCTGGGCCATTCCAAAACTTTAATCTTCTTCTGGTGAAGCCATTCCTTTGTTGATTTGGATGTATGCTTTGGGTCGTTGTCATACTGAAAGATGAAGTTCCTCTTCATGTTCAGCTTTCTAGAAGAAGCCTGAAGATGTTGTGCCAATATTGACTGGTATTTGGAACTGTTCATAATTCCCTCTACCTTGACTAAGGCCCCAGTTCCAGTTTGAAGAAAAACAGTCCCAAAGCATGATGCTACCACCACCATGCTTCACTGTTGGTATGGTGTTCTTTTGGTGATGTGCAGTGTTGTTTTTGCGCCAAACATATGTTTTGGAATTATGGTCTGATGAAACCAAGGTTGAACTTTTTTGCTCATAACACATTTTCCCACATGCTTTTGGGAGACTTCAGATGTGTTTTTGCAAAATTTAGTCGGGCTTGGATGTTTTTCTCCATTAGAAAAGGCCGACTTGCCACTCTACTCCATAGCCGAGACATATGAAGAATATGGGAGATTGTTGTCATATTGTTGTACCACACAGCCGGTACTTTTCAGATATTCCTGCAGCTCCTTTATTGTTACTGTAGGTCTCTTGGCAGCCTCCCAGACCAGTTTTCTTCTTGTCTTTTCCTCAATTTTTGAGGGACTTCCAGATCTTGGTAATGTCACTGTTGCGCCATATTTTCTGCACTTGATGACTTCACTGTGTTCCATGGTATATCTAATGCTGTGGGAATGCGACTAAGAAAATGTCAGGAAAAACCTACTAGAACAGCTGAACTTTATTTGGGGTTAATCGGAGGTACTTTAAATGATGGCAGGTGTGTACTGACTCCTATATTGTAAAGCGCTGAGCAAACTGTTGGCGCTATATAAATCCTGTATAATAATAATAATAATCTCCTATTTAACATGATTTTGAATGTGATTGCTTAATTCTGAACACAGCTACATCCCCAGTTATAAGAGGGTGTGCACACTTATGCAACCACATTATGTTAGTTTATTTAAGTTTACTCCCCCCCCCCCTAAAAGATTTCAGTTTGTTGTACAGTTTATAGTTTGCATTAAAGGTGGAAAAAGTTCTGAAATGATTTATCTTTGTCTCATTTTTGTACATCACAGAAATCTGACATTTTTTTTATAGGGGTGTATAGATTTTTCATATCCACTATATATTGTATGGATACTGGCATAGATAGCAGAGTAAAGACCATCAAGGGAGATGCTAATCCCCCAATTCATTTCGCAGAAAGAGCTTCTTCAGGGATTTACAGGGTGCAATTGGATTTAACTGATAAAGAAAAGAGAAAACCATATCATAATACATGGATTTATAGCAACATAATACTTTATCCATAAGCCATTGAAGTTGTGTTTAAATATTATTTTTGGGGGTAAATATTATTTTTTTGTGCTGATGGAGACCACACTCTGTACAAACTGTGGAGGCAAGGGCAAAGATGGAAAAATGGAACGGTCACCAATGAAACCGATCAAACCAACCTGGGACCACAAAGGCACCACATGGGGAGGAATCACTATCAATGTTCACAGCAGTACTCCATGCTGGAGAACACCTTCTAATGCTAGGCAGTTGCAACAAATGAAGATATCAAACACTGGAACAAGACCATATTTATTCCACTATCAGGTTGTCTCTTTGTTAGATCATATGCATGGAATGGGTAAAAACAGTGTCCTGCTGGGGAGATTTTCCTTCAATTCCTGTCCCAGAGACACAACAGAAAGTGAGAAAATCTCCGCAATGTGAGGGGAAATTTAGTTTCATGTGCCAAGTGGTATTCTACAAATTGCTTATTTAAATGTGTTCTCTGCAGTTCTGCGTTTTTATTAATTGTTTGTTTTGTGTTCAGAAAACCCCAGCTGAGTCTCGTGAACACAACAGAGAGTGCATATTGCTTGGATTCTTCGATGATCATGACATCTGGCATTTCCTCTCCTCCATTGCTATGTTCGGTTCCTTCCTTGTGAGTTTTCTCATCTTACAGAATAGTCAACTGCATTTAGCAGATAGCATATTTTATATCTGTTAGAACTGTTTTTTTACGTAATCATTTTGCCTTAAAATATGCAGGAAATTAATTTTTGGAGAGCCAATAGAACCAATAAAAAGGTGTAGACTGCTCCTTCTCCACATAATACATATCACACTGGTGTAAAGAGTTCTTGTTGAACGAGTACGCCCATAGCTGAAAATTGTAAAATTCCTGTGGTCGATAAAGAGTGAATAAAGTGTTGTAGGTAGTACTAGGTTCTGGTTCTTCTGGGGGGCTTGAAGAACAAGGTCAAGCTAGGCAAGATGGAGGGGGATATGGGAGTTGTATGTGTGGGGGTGGGGGTAGATACAGAGGAGGGGTTTTGATGGGTATGGGTTTACCTAGAGGATGTAATTGGATGAACATGTTAGCTGTACGGGGGAAAAAAATGGTTGGGAATGTTAATTTTAGAGCAGTGGGAACGAGGTCAAGGGCCCCGGCCTATATTCTTACCCTTGGTCCCAGGTGTGTTTAACTATACTGCTGGGTCAAAAGCTTTAAAAGTTAGACAAACGTACAGATAAGGGAAATCAGGGTAAAGTCAGAGCTCCTAATCTGCATACTTGTTCCAGTATCCGGATACTGGTATTTGCAGGACAGTTTAGCAGTGGCCGTGTCCATACTTTCTCAGTACAGGTTTCATTGGAGCAGTTAAAGGATTGTTCATATGTGCACAAGGCAGCAATGACTTCTTTAAGGACCATGAATATCATTCTTTCTTGAAAAGATTCCCAAAACAAAAGTATTTACATTCTGAACACGTGACTCTAAACTGGTTTAAATTATATATATAAAATTCCCCCCCCCAAGTATGCTTTCCTGCCTAAGAAAAAAAAGTACCTTCTATTGCTCTCAGAAATCCAAATTTAGCTTAGAGAAACGTTCGCTCTCTATTGTCCCACTGTATGTAGGTACATAGCCACTCTCCTTTGCTCAGTCTTGGGATGGGATTTGTAGTGTGCATGGAGCAGTGCAGATGACTGCGACTAATGTGCACTGCTTGTTCTGTGCAAATGGAAGTGAGAGAGGAGAAGTGAGGTTTGGGTTCTCACTGAGGTTTTTATAAGGAGGCAGAAAAACACAAATTATTTCATAAAAATAGATTACAGGACCAGTCATGGATGTGTACGGATTTATTTAGGAAAATAAGGATATAGTTTAGTGTCAATTTAAATCAAGTTCTCGGTCATCTCTGTATCTACAAGCATTGTGGAGAAATGAAAGCTCACAATACAATCTCCGCTTTTTTCCTATGGAGAGCAAAATCTTAACAGCCTGCCATGCCTCTAATGTGAACAGTCTGCAAGTGTTTCTAAGGCAGCCCATACATTATGCAACAGCAGGCTGAACGAAAGAAAATGCCTTGACTCGCATCCACATATTTGTTGTGGATGGGGGAATTCCTTCCCCCTGTGGTATTGTATTCTGACAGAAGGGAGTCTTCCCCCACGTTCAGATTACAATGATCATTGTTGCCAGGCTGTAGCCAGCAACACTGATCATTGAGGAGAAACATGACATGCTAGTTGTACAGAAGTTGATCGATTAGATTGACTTTTGTACAACCACATACATTGATCGAGGTTCAGCAGGGACCATTAGGATCTTTGAGGACTTTTGAGAATGCATAACCTCACATGGAGATCCGGCACGGCTGTTTTTATTTTAAAGCCTATGTACTGTCTGATGGACCCTGTTGGCACATGTACATGTACACCCCTGCCCCAACCACACCCCGTTTAGCTGCAATGGCCAGGGGTGTACAGCCACAGCAGGAGTTGTATGCCCTGTCATGGGTGGTGGGTGTAGCACCTGCTAAGCATGGCCAATTCAAGTGAATGAGGCCACTCTGCAAGTGTCCTGAAACCTTGTGCAGTACAGAAAACAAGGGGTTAAAATGGGCAGCATTGTGGCCCCATTTACTTGAATGGGTCATAATTGGCAGGCGGTAGCACCCACCAAAAGCAACAGGGAAATTAATCCCTGCTGCAGCATGTGTACACCTTTGGCTCCTGCCTCAGCAGCTAAAGGGGGTAGGGGTTGGGGGTGGTAAAATGCGACTTAACTGCAGGGTTATACCGCCCCCCAACTTTACATGTGACCGAATCCTAAGGATGCAGCTGCCAAATGCAACGAAGAGCTGCTGCTCCTCTGAAAAATGATCCGAGCATATTGGGTGGTGAGGCGGTGATAAGTTGCCTCCTAACCACCTGATTTAAATCCATGATTGTCGTGCAATGCATGCGATTTTGACATGGTAGTATGGCAGTTAGAGGTTTAAATCGCGTATAAGGAGGTGGCACTCTGCCTGGTGATCTTTGACTTCTCCCATGTTGTTCAGGTAGATCTCCAACTCTTTAGGTTGGCTACCCCTGGCCTAAAGTATAAGTAAATTGTTAAAAAACCTTTAGCCTTTACAACCATTTTCATTTTCATACATTCTATGCATGAAGGTAAAAAAATCTTCTGTGTGCTGCTCCCCCTTAGCCCCCCTAATGCTCCCTTGGGCCCCCTCTCGATCCAGCAACGTGCATGGGAGCCTCGGCTCTCCCAGGTCTCTCTCTTCTCATTGGCTGGGACACAGCAGTGGGATCCATTGGCTCCCACTCCTGTCAAGCACCACCAGTGAGGAAAGAGCAGGGGCAGGGCCGAGTCGCAGCTCTTTGTGTCTTATGAACACATGGAGCAGGGCTCAGGAACGACCATGCATCAGTACTCCCATAGCAAGTGGCTTGCTATTGGGGGCACTGGATAAGGGGGAGGGGCCAGGAGCGCCGGTGAAGGACCCGAGAAGAAAAAGATTAGCGTTGCTCATTGCAAAACCACTGCACAGAGCAGGTGCACTAGGATCCAGCTGCTAATGATCAGAAACCCTCGGAGAGAGGGTTGAAAACAGAGAGGGAGTGCCAATAGTGTAGTAGGTTTCAAATGGATTTATTAGGTCACAAGTAGGATAACAGCCAGGGGTACATGTGTACATATACTGCCAATGTGAAAGCAATAAAAGAACATGCACTGACCTGGCAAAATAAGAAGCCGCCGGACCTCCTCGTGGTCACGGCGGTGCAGCAAAGTCACACGTGCTGTTGGCTCCTCCTGAGGCCTTTCGTGCTACGGCACATCATCAGAGGGGGAATGCCACGAGGAGGTCCGGCGGCTTCTTATTGTGCCAGGTCAGTGCATGTCCTTTTATTGCTTTCACATTGGCAGTATATGTACACATGTACCCCTGGCTGTTATCCTACTTGTGACCTAATAAATCCATTTGAAACCTACTACACTATTGGCACTCCCTCTCTGTTTTCAACCCTCTCTCCGAGGGTTTCAGATCATTAGCAGCTGGTTCCTAGTGCACCTTGCATCCAGAAGAAGGAGCTCATCCGCCCTCACTTACTGGCTCTAAGTGTTCCTTGGTCCTGGCCACATATTACTACACCCAAGTCTGATGATCCACCTTTAAGGGATGGTCCGTGTGTCTGGCTCATCACCTGTTAGATGGTCATATACATGCGCATTTTAAATGTGCGGTCGGTGAGTGCGCATTTTATCTATATGGTTCCAGTCACCTATTTTGACATAGAGAGGATTCTCACTGCAAGTTTTCTTACAAAAACCCTTGTCGCATTCATGGAGGATTTATGAACTCTTTGCTCCTTTGTTCATACATTTGTTTACAAATTTCTAATACAGCGCTGCACTATATATTTTAATACTTATGATATGAGATCTGGTGATTTCTTTGAGTGTCCTAGCAGCTGATTATTATGAGCGCTCGCTTTATTTCTTTTAATTAGGTATATATTACAAGTTTGTTTAAAAAAAAAAAAAAAAATTAAAAAACAAACTTTAATATCACCCATAGTGTGGGCATAGGTGCACTTCAAAGTGTCACTAAAGGCAAAATATTTTTGTGGAGGATTTTTTTTTTTTGCCCAATGTTATCCAGATGACTAAAACATTGATAGAGATTATAACTCTCCCTTACTATATCCAAATTAAAAAAAAATGCCCTTCGTGACACTTTAATGTAAGATCCAGAATTGTAGCCTCACATTTTTAGTTACAGTAGTCAGCATGAACATTTTTTTTGCAGTCATATCATTTATCTAATTTGTATTGTCTTTATAAATCTTTCTTTTGACAACTACACCCTTTCTTCACAGGTTTTGCTGTATCTGGATGATGATCTGGATGCCGTAGAAAGAGACAAAATTTTTGTGTTCTGAAATGTGCACAGAAAGACTTCCAAGAATAATCCTGAAGAACGCTGGTTTCTGCAGTTACCTCCATGTAGCAACACACAGGGTGCCACAGACCAGGAGGAGACTCCAGTCACTGCTTTTAAAAGAAGGCTTCTGGATGAAGATTTAAGGAGAAATGCAAATCAGAGGGTAGATGTGCCACTAGCGTGTGCTGCTTTCATTTATGGAAGGACTTCACGGCCATTCCTGTCTGCACTGTACGATCCCACATTGGTCACAAGGTGCCATCGCAGCTCTCCTGTTGCCAAATTGAGTTTCTTGTGGGCCTAGCTTCCATGATATGAATTATGATATGATCTGATGTGGCTTTTGCTGCATTGATACCAGTCTGATTAATGCTAAAGCAGATGGTAAGCTAGCAGTGTCAATTTTAATTTTAGTGCAAACTGAATGAATGAAAGTGGAAGCAAAACCGCACTGTGCCGCTCTCGTGACTGCCTACTTATCAAGCCTGCCTTAAAGTGACTTTCTACTTAGAACGAAGTATTGAAAGTAACTGCAGCTTCTAGATGAACATGGTGCCTACTCCTATCATTGTAGCCCCCAGTGACCCAACACCCCACATCTGGCTTTCTCAGTCAGTATTGGTATACTGATTTGTAGCCCCCCCAAGTAATTGGCTGAAAAGCACTGTATTGTGGGAGGTGGGAGTAATGTTCTTGTGTGCCCCGTACCTGGAAGTACCTGGTATTGTGAGGTGCTGGATTAGAGTTGGGGGGATTTTCAGCACTAGAAAGGTATCCCCAAGCTTGCCACAGGCAGCTACACTGTTACTTTCATTACTTCTAAGTATGAAGTTGCTATAAAACTGGCAACACGTCAGTCAGTTTCCTTAGATATGATCTGTCAGATCAGCAAAAGTGAACCATAACTACATGGTGGAAGGCCTACCATCACAGCACATAGTTATTGGCAAATTGTGCTTCCGTCACTGACCAAATCTACAGTGTGGGGTCAGCTTACCTGGAAGGAGTTGCCTCTCCAAATGGGCAGACAAGCAGCCAAATCACTTCTGAACTCCTATGCACAGTTGAAATTTAAGTTTTAGTAAGATAATTTCTATTCCATATATTTGTATTACATATACACACAGAAAGGTGTATAGTACATATATGTCAGAGATTAAAGATCACTCCGTCCACAACCTAAATTTCAGTTGTTCAGTAAGTGATGCCAGTTGGCTGGTGTGCTGGCATTCAGTGAGGCACTGCATCCTTCTCGTGTCTTTCATACCACTTCTCTTTGACCTGCTCGGGAAGGGCAACAAGGATGCCACCGCCTGTATAAAACAGGTAAAGCTTGATGTCAAAGGATAGCGGTACTAGATTGGATCATGGCATACTGATTGAATTATGTATAATACCACCTATTGAAATTTAAAATAAAAAATACTTTTTGTAATATTTTTGTTTACAGTGTCTAAAAGTCTGAACTCGTATGTGGGGTTTTTTTATCCCTTGTAAGAAAGAAGTACAGAGGAGGACTTGCATTGCACACTGTCCTGGGTTAAGCTGCTATAAACAAAAGAGGATCTCTTCTTAATATTTGGAGGAAGGAACCTGCATAGTGGAATGTGTATTATGGATACCGTCGCAGACATGGATGTTGGTTCCATTGTGCACACAATCGTAATTACGTTGTCTTCCTGGGAAATGTCAAATAACAAAAGGCCAGCTAGTTCTGAACTGAGGCAGCGTAGCACTTGCTGCTAATTACCTCTTTCACACAAAATATTCTGGAAGCTGTAAAGTATTGATATAGACTTTGAAAGATACTTTAAAAGCACCTAAAAGATTAAAATATTTTCAGTTAGTTTTCTGATAACCTGCAACGGTTTTCTTGGTTCTGATTTGGTCCCTAAGTCCTCATGCACACTGGATGTTTTTGCTAAATCTCCAAGACACCTTCCCTCCTTGAAGTGGTGTTTTTTCGCAGAAAAAAAAAAAAATGCTTGAAACTTGAGGTTCATCAAGTGCTTAGGTGTTCAATTCATCGGCTAGAATAATTCATTTTTGGGGCCTTTGAAATAATTTAACCCTCAAGCGCTAAATGTGCCTAGTGTTAACATGAATTTAGACACTGGTACACACGTCTAGCTTTTTTCTACCAAAATGACGATGCTGCTCCTGGACGTGCTGGAGGTGGGGTTTTTTGGGGGGGGATTTCTACTTCGAAACTCCTTTGTATGCTTGGACACATAGGCTGACATGCTAGGGCGTTTAGAGGTATAAAAAAACACCAGATGCAACTAAGATATCCAGTGTGCATGAGGCCTTAACCTACTGACATGTGTCACCCCTTTCATTATTAGCAAGCTATTTTTTGTGTTCAACGCTTTGATATGTTGACTGAAAATTACTTGGTCAGCCAACACTATTCAAATGAAATGTATTTCATTTTTTGGGATAGATAAAGCTTTTTCGAAGGCATTTAATAGTCATTGGGTATTTATTTTTTTACTAGATAATGGAAATGAAACTAATTTGAAACAAAGACTCCCTTACGTTCTGTTTTTAATCCATAGCAAATTCAAATGTCAGGACAGTAGGAAAATACCAGCAATGATTCCTTTTTGGAAAGTAGACCCCCCCCCCCCAAGGTGATTTGAGTTTTTGCCACAATGAAAAAACTTGCTGGTATTGCAGGAGTTAGCATATGGCACTTGGTAATGGTGCTCTAGGTACATTAAATGTGCAGATCATACACAGAGGAATCAGGAGTTGTACAGATTACATACAATTAGAAAATGGAGTCAAAGGGGTAAATGTTTAGATGTGCAGGATAAGGTAGGTGAGGGGTTAATATACAGGTCAGATCAGAGACGGGATGGAGCTGACACATACAGGAGAGGGGTGAATGAGGGTCGGGGTGGAATTTAGTAATGTCGGCACTGTACTGTATTGCACTGATAATGGTTGAAGGTCAAGAGGCTTTCTTTCCTCGCACCCTTTGGTGTGTTAGTGCTTCCTGATCACATGGCTGCTAGCTACCTGAGCATAAATACTGTGATTGGTTAGTGATCACATGGTACAGAGCCACTCACATATAGCTTTTGTCTGTGATCCACTGTGTCCAATAACAATCACAGGACTGTGCACAAGCAGGCATGCACAAAAGCTCAGTTTTCAGTGTGTTCTTCGTGGAACAATAGGGGAGTGGACCAACCATATATGTGTAGGCTGGTCCTCGAGAAGTCATCTTTGATTTCAATCTGGAACTCCCATGCAGTAATTCTTTGCTGCCCCAACATGCCCTCAGTTGATGGCCAGCATCATTCAACCCACTTGCTCTTAGCCCGCACTGTCCTGGACCCACCCCAACCTGTTATTCCACATTAAAAGCAGAAGCTGCACAGTGAAGAACTAATCTTTCCATCATTGGATTCTGTTTCTATCATTCTATCATCATGATTCTTGTCGGCACAATAACTCATTGGCTCCTTGCTCAGCCTACGCCTTTCACAATCTAGTTCTCCTGTAAGGGGAATACCAGAAGTTGATACCAGGTCAGTTCAGGTATTTCGCTTTTCTTGCATTTAAAGAATATATGTAATATATTAATGATTTACAGAACTACATTATTTTGTGTCTACACTGTGTGCACATTTATTAGGCAAGTGAGTATTTTTGACCAAATCATCATTTTTATGCATATTGTTCAACTCCAAGCCCTATAAACTTGAATGCTTATTGGATGGAAGCATATCAGGTGATGTGTATTTGTGTAATGAGGGAAGGTATGACCTATGGAGATCAACACCCTATATCAATGTGTACATAATTATTAGGCAGCTTCTTTTCCTCAGGCAAAATGGGCCAAAAAAAAAGATTGAACTTAGTGTTACTGAATCCAGGACCCTGCATTCACTATATCTGGTTTCCCACAGTACACAGAAATGCAATTATTTTAGTAAATATAAACTGCTAAATACCTTTCCTCATCAGAAGTTAGAGCAGTCTTGTGACTTCCATCAGTGTCCAGTTCAGCACTAGCTAAAGCTTGTAGGAGGAGTTTTCTTTCTGCTCTAGGAGGATGTGAAACCTCTGACCTGTCTGAACAGAGCCGATTGGCCCTGTGCTGATCACATGCACTCTCCCAAGAAAAAAAAAAAACCTCTCTAGCAATACACACCAAACTGAGCATGTGCAGAAGGGCTATGGGTTCAGTCTTTATCGGGTGGTCATTTAAACAAGAGGAGGGGCATAGAAGAAAGGATCACACAGCCTTTTTACACAATGCAGAGAATTAACCCCTTACTCCACACTGAGTATAAACCAGCATGATTTACTGCATATACAGACTGATTTTACTGTTGTGGGTTTAGCAACGTTTGATTCGGCAATTAATTTGTCTTTTTGTTTTTTTTCAACGCATTTCTTGTGACCCTGTTGACTATTTGCAATAAACGTTTGATGGTTCTGTGATCACGTCCCAGTATCTTAGTGATTTCAATAGTGCTGCATTGCTCTGAAAGACTTGTAAACATTTTTGACTTTTCAGAGTCAGTTGAATCTTTTTTTGGCCCATTTTGCCTGAGGAAAAGAAGCTACCTAATAATTATGTACACCTTGAAATAGGGTGTTGATCTCTTTAGGCCACACCCTCCCTCATTACACAAATACACATCACCTGATATGCTTCCATCCAATAAGCATTCAAGTTCATACAGCTTGGAATTGGACAATATGCATAAAAATGATGATTTGGTCAAAATGCTCACTTGCCTAATGTGCATACAGTGTTTTACATTTGATTTACATTCGATTTACTAACCGACATATCAGACTGGATGTCACACCACTTCCTAAAACTCAATCTATCCAAAACTGAGTTCATAATATTTCCTCCACCATACGCGTCTTCTCCTGAATTCTCGGTCAGGGTCATTAGTACCACTATCAACCCGTCCATGCATTCTAGGGTGCTAGGGTTAACCCTGGATTCTGAACTATCCTTTCAGGCCA